GACAGATTGCAAACAATCTAGAAACATCACCTGGGCATTTTGGGATGCTATCAGGAAAACCAAAGCTCAGCTGGAGTTGAGAATTACAAGGGATGTTAAAGGAGCTTCACCTGCTGAACAAAGAAAATGAGGGACCTTTGCTAAAAGGCAGATTTTACAACAGTGTGGGCACAGATAAAACAGAAGTACTCTGTACCTTCTTTGCCTCAGTCTTTACCAACACTCTGATTAGAGAAATTTTTCAGAAAAGAGCTGCCAGCACTGGATAAAGATCAAATCAGGCTTCACTTGACAGTACTGAGTATGGTCAAGAACATTGAACCAAATGGATTGCATCCAAGAGCCTTAATATAACTAGCAAATGCCCTCATAAGACAACTTTATATCATCTTTGAAAAGTCAGGGTGACCAGTTGTGGTCCCTCACAAATGGAGAAAAGCAAATAATTGCCAAAAAAAAAGAAAAAACCAAAGAAAACCACCTAAAAAGCCCCATAAGGACAGTTTGGGGGTCCACAAGTTCATCAGCCTCATTTTGTTCCTCAAGAAAATAATGCAAAGTCTCCTAAGACCACATATCTGGGCATATGAAGGATTAGGTGGTAGCTGGTAACTATAAGCATGCAGTTATCAAATGTAAATTATGCCTGACCAATCTGTTTTTCCCTATAATAAAATAACTCAGTTTGAAGACCAGGGGAGAACAGTGGGTGCCATTTCCCTTGATTGTATCGAGGCTTATCAACAGTCAGAATACTCTCTTCATAAGAATATTTGTGTTAGGGTCTGGAAGGATGTACAATTAGAGGAGTTAACTAGTTGGATCATCATGCTCAGAAGGTAGCGGATGTGTTGTAACAATAAAGTATCATAGGGGCCTATCCTAAAACCTGTTTTTTTCCTATTATCTTTGGCAGTGACTCTCTAAAATTACATGCTCATCAAGTTTGCAGATGACACCAAATTAGATGGAACAGTCAATACTCTTGAGGGCAGAGCTGCCATGCAAAGATACGAAAACAGACAAGAGGAATGGGCTGACAGGAACCATATGAAATTCAACAAGACATGCAGTCTTGGAAAGGAATATCCCCTTGCAATGACACAGGCTGGGGAGCAGCTCTGTGTAAAAAACCTTGGTGCATGTTCAGCAAGCAAGCTTCAAGCCAGGAGCATGCCTTGGCAGCAAAGAAGGCCTACAGTATCCTTGGCTGCATCAACAGTAGCATAGCCAGTAGTCGGAGGAATGTGATTATCCCTCTCTAATCAGCACTCGTTGGACCAAATTTAGAATACTGTGTCCAGTTTTGGGCCCCCAGTCCAGGAAAGACACTGATAAACTGGAGCAAGTTCAGCAGAGGGCTGCCAAGCTGGTCAGGCAGACATGCCCTGTGAGAAGCAGCTACAGGAACGGTTTGTTCAGGAGAGGAGGAGGCTTCAGGGGGATTTGCTAACAGCTTTCCAATACCTACAGGGTGGCAACCAAGATGGAGCCAGACTCATGTTGACAGACAGTGAAAAAAGACAATAGGCATAAACTGACACAAGAGAGGTCCTAACTCAATATAAGAAAAAAAACCCCACAACTTTTCACTGAGGACAAAAGCAGTTGGAATAGGCTGCCAAGAGAGAGATTAAAAACCTCCAAGGATGGAGACTGTACAAAACTTGTCTGAATAAAGCCCTGATTAACCTGAGCTGACTCCATTACTGACCCTGCTTTGAGTGGGATGTTGGACCAAAAACTTTCTGATGTTCCTTCCAACCTGAATTATTCTATAATCCTAAACTTAAGCAATCCTATATACAATGTTTTGCATATGCTTGCACAACTTTCCAGCAACTTTAGACCACAACCTCCAGGGCTGCGTGAACACTGTCCAATCAACTCAAACATTCAGCACAAGCCTAGATAGAGTCCAGTGCACTTCCCCTCCCCAAATACTACCATGCCTCGAGATGCAATCGCGACTTCCCAAAGGAAGCCCATAAGGAAGAGCACTTTTCCTGTCGGGGGGAAGCAGGGAGCACAAAGCCAGGCGCTGAGGCGAGCGGTGTGCTGCGGCAGCGGAGGCTGCAGGGGCCGCGCTGCGGAGCCGCGCCGGGGCGAGCGGGGCCGCTCCGGGCAGAGCTGGGCGATGGTGACACCCAGCGGCCGCTGCCGCGCCCAGGGCAGCGCCCAGCCCGGGGGAAAACGCTGCCAACCTCCCAGCTTCGCTACTCTACAACACGAGTGGGGGGTTTTCTAGTGTATGTATATGTACTCACCCCCCCCTCCCCACACCAGCCATCTAGCACAGTAACCAACATGACGAATGACCTCGTGTCCTTCAGTTTTAAGTCACGCTTTTTTAACAAACTTGGGAAAAGCCATTTCAGGAGTTCTGGCCTAAAAGGGCTTCCAGAATGATGGATTAGAACTGCAGATTTTCATTTATACCAGCAGGAAAGAGTTTTCAGATCTTAAGGTGTACAATAATCATCCATTTAGCTGACAAATACAACATTGATATGCTCCTTGTCAAGAAACAGGTGTGAAAGAGTAGAACATCCAAGTTCTATATATACTGCATTAACATTGTTCAAGTCTTATATGTATAAATCTATAAATCATTTTAGCATTACAAGTTTTACAGCACCCCCAAATGTTAATGAATAGTCATGCTACCAATTCTTGAAAGACTAGTGATCTCTTCCAATATCAGACTTCTAGATAATGAGACACAAACAATTCCAACATGCCAGACATTTGTAGGAATGCTCAGTCTTCAGTGAATACACCTTGAAACTACCAAATCTCATTTTGTCTTTCCATTTCTCCTGCGATCAGGAGTGCCAGATTTGAACCAAACCATCATAGTTTCATTAAGCTTCCACTCTGTTTTGACAGATTCCCCTCTGTCCATCTAATCTACTGTTCACTTTCTTAGCTGAATGATGGGGAGATGAGAAACACATTTTGGTTATTCTCCATATGTTAGCAGATACTTGGTTACACAATATCTCCCTACTAAGCACAAAATATTCTAAAGCACTTCCCACCACTGTCCAAGATCTTCAATTTGGTTTCTAGATTCCCAAAGCAAAGGAATCAGGCAGATGAAGAAAGCTTCTTTCCAGTATGTGTCTCACAGTGACCCCCATTTATTTGGCTACTTTGTATTTTGTGCAGTTACAGGTTTCACAAGATGTCCACTGTAACAAAATTAAACTGAAATAAAGGACTTCTAACCATTAAGCAAAAAATACAGCATTTTTCTTGTGGCATAGCCAACACAGAGACCTGGTCAATGCAGGTTGGCTAATCTCTGCATCAGAGAAAGAGCAATGCTGCAGACAGGTTGTCTAGTTTGCTCTTGGATTTCTCAGCAGGCTTCTACAGATGAAGTAACTCAGGATTCTGCTGCATTGCTTCCTTTGTCCCCCTCTGGTCTTTACTTTGCAGCAGTAACAGAACTAGAGAAATTTTTTTGCATAGAACTGTATCCTCTGGAGCTCCCAACAACTGCCACATGACAGGCAGGACACACAGACAGTCCTCATCCATGTGACATACCAACCACTTGAAAACATCTATGGATACACAGATTAAAAACATATTTTACACTTCGAGGGCATAAAGGCCATGTGGAGTATGAGAGGTGCTACAAACAGCACAGTACAGCCACCTTCCACTCCTGGTCAGCAAGACAAACAGCAATACCTACATGTGTACAGCCAACTGAATGCACAGAATCTGACATGAACAAGATTTATACCCCAAAACCAATGGCACAGCAGGTGCAGCAGGAAAAGCTACATAACAAATATCTGAATGCTAAAAAGCATTTCCAAGCTCTACAGAATTCACCCAGTGAGAAACTGATAACTCCCAGCAACTATCCCACTCCAATTTTTCTCACATTTAAACATTCGCTTTTAAACAGAGGAGTAATTAACAAGATACTGCATTTCGTTACATTTTTCTGAACTGTATTCACCTGAGAAAGTTTTTTCATCCTAAAAAGCTCATGCATATAAATATTTTTCATTAATATACAGTGCCAGACACGATTTAAACAAAGGAAAAATAGCATCTACTATATGTTGAGCAAATAGTTTTCTTTAATCACCAGCACAGACATTATGTCTCGCGCATCCAGGATGTTGAAATGAAAGAACAAAAAGAATAAAAAAGACAAAACTACTTCAGAAATACTTCCCACTTCCAGCTTCAATGGAAACTGAACATTAACTTAAAAAATGCTTACTTAGAACATTTTGTTTTCCACTGTGAGGATTCAAACTTAAAAAAACGATTCTTTAGTATCAACGACAGAACTATTATAACTGATTTGCCAAAGTTTTGTATGGAAAAATTACTGATTATAAATGACAAAATTATTAATTTTTATGAAGCTTAAGAAAATAGCTCTTCTCTTTGTAATAATGCCAGCACTTACCAATTCAAACCCCTGTGTTATATTTACACTTCTCTAATTAATCACATATTCATAAGACTGCCCAAAAGACTAACTTCAGTTCTTCAAACACAATTAAAATCAGCAACTCCACCAGAGCCTCCCTAAGAAATAATTCTTATACTTCATTTATATACCTAAAATGAAAGAAAGAAAAGGCTAAATAACTGTCATTTGTTAGCAGCAATAAAGACTCCTTTACAGAAGGGTAAATAGAATGAAATTACCAAAAGAAGGAATTAACTAGCAAGAAGTAAAGCACGTATCAGTTTATGTACTTACCAGACAAGTTGGAAGTCTTTTTAACTTCATTTTTAACTAGAGAAGTAACCAAACCACCATACATATGTAGATTTGATAAAAATTCAATGCAAAAACCTCTCAAAAATTCGTAAGTTCACCTCAATTGTTTTTCAATTACATTTTCAAATAAGGTTTAATTTTTAAACATTTACTCTGAATTCTTTAGTAAGTACATTATTTGATTTTCTTTTTGTTTAAGCACAAGAAAAGGAGGGGCTCACCAAGACAAATCTATTACCTTGTATTTAAGATTTCACCAACAATTTCTTGCAGCTTGTCAATAAAATTAACAAAGTTGGAAAGACCTTTTACATGGGCTCTTAAAGGATCATACATAGAAGATCCAAAGTCTCTTCCTCCAAGTTCTATGGTCCGGATAAAAGAGGTTGCCATCTATTAGGAGAAATAGGCAGAAATATCAAACTGTAGACATAGACTGCACATATGTTGAAGTGAGCCTTTCCTACAGGTCTGCAAATTGTGTAACAGCTGGCTGATAGCAGAAATAACTTACCTGAAATCAAACAATGGCTCTTAATTGCAAGCTTTGTACATCTCACCATAAATATTTGCAAGATCAATATTAAATAGTACAATAGATTAAAAAAAAACAAAACACAAGTAAAAATAACCCAGCTAATTTGATGTTTACATCAGCTTTTTGAAAGCTTAGGACAAAAAACTTATTAAAACACTGTACATAACTCTTATTGTTGTTGTGGCTGTTTAAATGCTCCTGCTGGCCTCACAAAAACTACTCTTATATTCAGAGTGCTCTCTATGGCTCAAGGACAATTTTAACATAAGCACATAAAAGTTTGCTTCAGCTTGTAACAACTTTTAGAGAAGTAAATAATGTATATTCAAATCTTATCAAAAATAATGACAGCTAAGGCTTCTGTCATTCTGAAAGTGTTCATATACTTTTATATGCTGTAAGACAATTAAAAGACGTGCCAAAACCATAGAGTACGACTCCAAAATTTTAAAGCAACAGTAAGAACAAAAACTCTAGCAGTCGGCCAAGAAGGTAACAGTAAGGATAACAACCCAATGCATTTGACACAGATGCAGTAATGTTAATTCTACATGCAAATTTTAATTTCAGAATACAGAGCTAAATCATAAAGCTCTTCGGGCTGGAAGGAGAGAAACTGAAATTACTCTAGCACAGAAAGTAAACCTGACAGTATTCCTGTCTTTGTGCTAAAGATCTCCCATGGATCAAGTAAACACTTCATAGGCCTTTCCCTTCCCAATGGCAATTATTCTAATTTTCAGGGTTTCTACAAGACACAGATGCCAGAAAAGATGACTTCTTCACACAGTAAAGAAGTTTCCTCTCCGATAACTGTGAAGAAGACGTGGTAAATCCAGTCCAAACACATACCATTTTTTATACAACATTAACAGAGCATTAGGACCTAAAATAATTAAACCTGGAACTGAGATTTCACAACTTTTCCATATTTATTCAACCATAAAAGTTTGAGAATGCAGCTGCTTCAGAGGCTACATACCCATACTGTTTTTAACTTAGACTGAGGTTACACTGCATACAAAATTTCACTATTTTGAGTATGAGTGACTACAGTGGTTCTTTGGAGAAGATTCTTATTTACCTTATTTCAACTATTTTTGAGATGGCTGACAACAACTGCAAGATCCCATTTTAGAACTCTTGAAATACACACAGAAACTATTTTTTCTGTCCACCTTGAGATCCCATGACCAAACAAGCAACCATTGCTCCCCACAGAATCTATTTCTTTTTAGCTTTAAAATCTTTTTCATGGTGGCATTTGACTCTGCTTGCAAACATCAGTGTTGCATATAAAGCCACATTGTCTGTTTAGAGACCTACTTTATTGACCCTGTCTTCCAGGAAGATTCATTTGACACACATACCAGAAAAATGGACATTTTTCTCTCCTGTGAGGCATGTTTCAGGTTAGTGAAGGCTTCTCTACCAAGTCCTCTGTCAGGAACATTCAGAATATGAGCCACTGCCAGATCATCCTTAGAATTCACCAAAAGGCTTAAATATGAACAGACAGACTTCTTTGCCAGGATTGTCATCTGCATGAGAGAACATCAAACAAATTGTTTAATCCCACTGCTATAAATTATGTTCCATTTTATTTTAAAGTTAATTATCATGTACTGATGTAGTTTTTGGAAGAGTAAGAATTCACCTTGCATCTCAAAATGCTATTTTATGCATGAGGATTCTGGAAGTCTTGATGAAAACAAACATGATAAATAAGTTAGAATTGCATATATGGTACTTGAATATTCATGAGGTGTTTGAGGGTTATTAAAACTGGTTACAAATTTCTATTTAGAAACCTCCCCACAGACATCCCTTTTCTATCTCAAAGCAGATTACCAGCACCATTAAACCATGTAAGAATTTGTCATTAACTTCAAAAAGACTAAGATTTTAAACTATTTGCCAATTTTGCCAGAGATTCTGCATTTTTTTTTCTTTTGTCTTCCAGGGGACTTCAATCAAAGAAACCCCACTGCCTGAGTTTGGACATAAATTGTGACCCAGCCCCACCCACATAACCAATATATAACATTGTAAATGCTAGTATTGCAGTACTGTGAGAACAGCCCCAGAACAGAAGAATTTGCAGTTTTGCTGCAAGCAAAGAAAAAAAAAAATCAAAAAAGAGGCCATTAACAGAAGAACATATAACAAGAAAAATTATACCTGCCATGGAATATCTTCTTATAGCACAGTACATATACAACAAAATATTTTTACAAACTCAAATATGCACATATGACTGTCTGCAAAGACAGTCCTCAGAGGAGGAAAAAAGAGCAAAGAATTTTTTACTGCACAAGTCAAAGCAGCAAGAAAGCCATTGTGGGAGTAGTAGAAGTGCTGTTTAGGGAAGAACCTCACTTCAGAAAATATTTTCTTGTCCAGAAATACTTTGAGTTATACTCAAAGATTGATTTGAAATTGCCATTCATTGTGAGAAAAGTAAGTTTGGAAATGACTAAAGTTCCAGCATTTCAAGCACTGCTAGAAAGTACCCAGAGATTCTTATTTTGGTGGTTAAAAGGGTAAAGGGAAAGTCATCAAGTCCTCAATTGGGACAGCCAAACCTTGTTTGCTTTGCTACAGCTACCACCACAGTGGCTATTCAGATTTCTCCCATATGTAAGGGACTACAGCCTAATAAAATGAAATCAAAGGAGATTATTTCATTTATTTAATGCACAGTCAAAACAATGCTTGAGTGATGGTGTGTTTGTCTACATTAAGTGCCTGCCATTCTGGACTGTCCTCCAGAATATGAAGTTCAGCACATAGCCCCATACACACCTACAATACACTCAAGTGATGCAAAGTTTGGATACACAAGCTGTTTTGTTTTTTAACAAAGCCACATTTGAATAACAATAATTGGAAAATACAACTATGTTATATTTCATCTTTTCAATAGATACAGAAAATTACAAGAGACAAAAAACTTTTACCTTCATATGGTTCTGGCTCTGTCTATTGATTTGCGTAGGAGTAGAAACAAGAGAACCATTATTTTCTTGTGCATTCATTACACCAGAAATAAATTCCAACAGTTGAACCTTTAATAAAAAGATCATGATAAACTTAAATATGAAGATGACTAGAAAGCAAAAGTGTGTTTAAAACCTATCTCTGTCATTTTGCTAGTGTTTGAGTTTAGCACAGCCCTTACAACCCACTTTTAGTTTTAGTCTTTAGAAGTATAACTATTCTAGTGGAGAAATGAAGTGTAAGGCTAAAATTAACTTAGAAATTATCTCAAACATTTATATTAGACACTTGCACTAAAAGCCACTGCTTACATTTTGGAGAACATTTAACATCTTATGCCAAGTTCAGGAAGAGCTCCTTAACCCACCCAAATTCTCTATCTTTCCCATGAAAAGTAGGAGGAAAAGAAAAACACAGAAAAACAAGCACCCAAAAAAAAAAAAAAAAACAAAAACAAAATAAAAACGACTGCAATAAACTACAACAGAGCTGTGACTGAGTGGCTGAACTGGAACTTCCAAAAAAAGAAACCCAACATGCAAATACATATATTATACAGAAGTTGTTTTTTTTTAAAGAGCATAGTGTTTTCAAAATGGTAATCATTAAAAATATATTAGCTACACATCAACATACAACCAAAACCCCATGACATGTTAATTACTAAGCTTTGTTCCAGTTTTATCAAATCTCTACAGTTTACTTCTCATTCCAATTTATGGCAAGGAGTCATTTATTCATAGAAGAGTTGTGGGACCTCACATTCCAGCAGGACAGAGAAATAATTTTTCAGTGAATTTAAAGCCTCTTACAAAATTTCATAATTTAAACTCAAAAACTTCCTCCCCAAAGTTGTGAATAACCTAGAGCACCTGTGTATAATTAGAAGTTAATCCATAACTGGAACCAAAAATATGTCAAAACAACATAAGAGGTCAAACAAACATAATACTTACAGGGGATATGCTTTCATCTTCAGCTAAAAGTCCAAGACTATAGCACTTCTCATATATGTCTATTAAATCTAGCATATTGCTTCTTGCTAAAAAGTCATTATAGGCTTTTTTCACATCAGTATAATTTTCAGGTTCTTTCATGTTTTCATACAATCCCAGTTTGTCATGTAACAAATAGTTCCACATTTCCAACACATCACTAAGTGATACTGTGAAGTCTCCATGGTGCTAGCAGAATGAAAAAAAACCAAAAAGTTTCATATTCAGCATAGTTATGAAAATAAATTTAAAAGAAGCTGCAAATATATAAACAAACATATATTTGAAAATCTATTATAATTTAAATTGATCAGAAACAAAGTCTTACTTATAGCTTTGCATTTACAGTTGAATTTTATTATATTTCTGTCAGTATTTGTTCCTGATCTTTAAAATATCAGGCCTGTATATTAAAGTTCACCCATGAGAAAATGCAGTGAATGTTGTAGGACTACTTCTTGCATAAAGTTATTTGCAGAAATAGTCTGCAGCATGGTAGGGATTTACTTCCCAAAGGCAGTAAATATGGCTCCCTTACTTTGTTTCAAGCAGTAAACTGGGAAAACATATGTCAATTTAAAAAAGGAGCTTTTCTTCCTTGTTATACTTTATCATAACATTGACAGTATTGCTACGCAGTTCTAATAAATACATTAAAGCCATGCACATCCCTCTGTTACTACTATAATCAACATTAACTATACAGTATAGACTACACTCTTCTGGTGAAAATGATCAGATTTTGGTCTATGTGCCACTCTGCCTTCTCCTCCAACCACTTGCTCTTACCACCTTCTCTTTCACAACTTGTCCTCCTCATTTTTGGCCACACACTGCTCCTTAAACTGAGTACCAATCTCCAGTTCCTGCTGCTAAACTTTTGTCCACACCACTGGTATCTCAAGCACTCCCCAAGCTGTGGCAGCAAAAAAAGGTGTTTTTCACCATGTAACATGAGATAAATGCCCTCTGACCAAGGAACAAGCCTTGCTTTGCACTGTCCATAATGGCAGATGGCTCCTGTCTACAGCAAAGGTTTAATTCTATTTCATAACATTTCAACATTAAGCAATTAAATTACCTATAAACACCATTAGCAACAGAACACATGAAATAAGAAAACATGAGAATTTCTAATTCTAATTGTTCCAACCCGAATGATCCCTCCTTTGGGTTCTAACACATTTAGCACAACTTTCTCAATAGACCTCATTAAATACACAACTCCAAAATCCTGAAAGTCAACTATTTTGGTATTGTCTAGGTGAAAAACAAGGACTGAAAATTAAAGAACACTCACACATATTAGCTTCAGAGCACTTTCCTGCCTTCTAATTTGTGCATGGGTTATGATAAACCAACACTATGAACTTACATACTATTCCACATATCACCGGAATGTTAAAACTGCACATGTGTTTTCTGAAAAGCACCTGATTTTCATTTCAGCCCCTCAAAAATTAAACATATAATCTTATTATAACCCAATTTAAACAGATCAAAGCCGCAGTAGAAAGGAAAAAAATGTTATTTTCTCACTTTATTTTGAATCAAAATCCTTCAGGAGTACCAAGTTAAAGTACAACTTCATAAGGTATCTAATAAATCAAAACATTTCCTCACCAGATCAAGGGCCTGCAGAGATTAGCAAAGTTTATGTTAGTACTGCAAAAATATTTTAAATCCAAATGCTGCATTCCAGATATTAACCTTTGTGATCAGACATTCACTGTGATGGCATATTCCATTACTTGCACAGTCAATTTATCAAGTCTCTGGTTTTAAAATTAATTTTAAAAATACTGTGGTGTTTTGCAGTAAGCATTTGTCAACTGGCTAATAGCTTAAGGAAGTTCAAAAAGTCCCATGTTTTCATTCCATTATAGGCAGAACAAGTGTTTCATTTCATAAGAATAGAACCAATAAGGTATTACAAAGTATCTTCACTTCCTGGTAATACAGCATATTAAGTCAGCTGGGGCCTCTGGTTTTAGAATGTCTGAAATCCAGTAGCAACATTTCATGCTAAAAGACATCATTATTTACTCTTTTGTAGGTATTGTAAGTTTTCTAGTGCTAAGTATATAGCAAATCAATTTCTATTTCGACAGGAAATTGTTTAAAAAAAAAAAAAAAGTTGTGCTTTCAGCGCCAAAATGTTGGCTTCCACCTTCCCCAAACAACGGCTCATCAATCCTTTTAGGAATATGTGTGCAAAAGACTGCTGTGCTTAAGCACCACCTCTGCGTTGGGGCTATTCTTTCCAGGCATACTCCTAGACTGCAGCATTGTTTTCTGGCTTTGTCCTTGAGTTGGGCACTCTGCACCCTTGTCACCTCGAGTCCTGCTCAGACTTCACTGCTTCCCTACACTCTCACACAGCAGAGGGGCTCCCAAACTGTGGTACATAAAGTACATTCACGTAGGAAAAAGCAGCATTTTTAACAAGTTTCCTATCATGGTGACAGTGCTGGGCACAGACTGAGAAACTGATTGATGTGAGTACAAACACATGGACATCAGACAGTTGTGAGGTTGCAAAGTGCAGAAGCAGTGAAGTTCCAGGCTGAAAGCCCAGGCTCAGAGAAATGACAATATTATAAAATAATAATAAATAAAATAACAATGGCATGGGTATTGAACACTTTTTTTGTGGGTGAAGGGGAGTGTTGAGGGACAAAGTACCAGGGCCCAAGAGAGTAGATGCTCTATGTAAGGATTACAAGAGAGCTGTTGTACATAGGGGACAGTAGAACAGTAGCTGCAACAGCAGAATCACAGAATAGGCAAAGCAAAAACTGTACTCTCCCAAACAACAAACCAGTACTTTCTAAAGCCAACCCTATCAATTATAGTGGCAATAAAAACAAGCGACTGAAAATTTAGAGCCTTGCTGGTTAGAAATTAATGAAACTATAAAAAACCCCACACATGCTTGCTTTCTCTTCTGCCCCTCAAAACAGACACCTGTAATACTATAGAGAGAGGGGTGGGAGGGAGAAGAAAAAGTCCTATTGATAAGCAAGGAAAGATGCATCAAGACTTAAGCGGCAAAAATTTTAATATTGTTAAAACAACCTCAGTTGTTAAGCATAACAAATACATGAAACTAACTTAAAGTTACAATTTGACTACACAGGGTATGGGAAAGACTGTAGAACAGCCTCAATATATAATTTCCTTTTAAAAAAGTATCCAGAGAAATACTTATTACTCCAAAGGCTTTTCTAAAGAAGAGCCTGTCCCTTGTAGAGAAGGCTACTCAGCACTGGTGAGACCACATTTAAGTACTGTGCCCAGTTCTGGGCTCCTCAGTACAAGGGAGACTCAGACACACTGGAGAGAAGTCCAAGGAAGTCCACGTATCACCCACAGACATCATGAAGGGACAGGAGCACCTCCTGTATGAGGAAAGGCTGAGAAAGCTGTGGCTGTTTAGTCTGGAGAAAAGAACACTCAGGGAGGATCTCAAAGCATACAAATATCTGAAGGGAGGGTGCAAAGAGGATGGAGGCAGGAGCTTTCCTAAGGTGCCCAGTGGTAGGAGCAGAGGCAATGGGCACAAACTGAAACACACACAGAAGGTTCCCTCTGAACATCAGGAAACACTTTTTTACTCTGAGGATGCCCGAGTACTGGCACACATTGTCCAGGGAGGTTATGGAGTCTCCATCCTCAGAGATAATTTGAGACACCTGGACAGGCACCCTATTTGAGGGAGGCTGGATAAGATGACCTCCAGAGTTCCCTTCCAACTTCAACTCTTCTGTGATTCTGTGAAAAATTAATCATACTGAAGGACAGCCAAGACAATCTCTCTTAGTAGCATCATTACAACATGTTCTCTCTCAGTAGCATCATTACAACATGTTACAAGCAGCACATCACATAAAATTGCTACAAAGTTAGTCAGGAGTACCTCATCACCAAAAGGGAGACAGAACAGTTTAAGGGAGTAAAACTGTAAAACTCCACTTTTTTCTTCATTTGCCAACATGGAAACAGGACAATTTGGGAAATCATTTTAAGAAATAAAGATACTAAACAGAACATAATATTCTCCAGTCGGCATACACAATGCACTTGTGGAAGCACAGAACAGAAATAAACCAAACATTTTGTATATTTATGCTTTTATATAAAATCAGAAATATACAAAAACAAATTTCTAAAGGGAAGATAATTTCTAAAATCAACAAAGAAGCAGTCTCTCTTCCAGTATCAAAATTCTCATTCTAGAAAAGATTTCCAACACATTTAAGTCTGACAACTTAAACTCACAGATTCTGGAAAAATAATTGTTTTATACACTTCAGTTTCCCATCCCACTAACTAAAACAGCCATAGTCTGAAAATGACAGGTGATTATTTGACCAAAAACTCATCTTCTACCCCTGATGATCCACAGGTACAAACAGTCAATTTAAAGCAATTACCCTCAGCTGAACTTCATCCTGAAAACTTTTCTTATTATTTCAAACCCTGAGGAAGAATCTTCTTAAAAATGTTCCTAGATTTTTAGATCTATACTAATCAATCTAGGTGAAAGGTATTGACTTCTATTCAGAGACGTTATGCCATATGGCTACAACCCAAAGTATTTTCAGAGGGATTCAGACCACAGGTTTGCTTTTTCTTTTCTTTCATCCCTGTTGTTGGATCAGAGATTATCACACTTTTTTCTATCCTTATTCGGGTGAAATTTAAGATTAACAGATTATGAAGCTTTTAAACTTTCCTAGAGTTCTCCTAAAAGCTTTGTTATTTTTCATTTCCAATGTCAATACAGGTACCAGTTAAAACACCAAATCCATTAAAATTGTCCAAGCTCCTAAAGGAAGAGAAATGTATTTTGGTTATTTGTGATAGGTTGGATGTGTTGGTTTTCTCCCAATACAACCTGTTAATGAAATTATTTTTATTGCAGTAATTGACTTTACCAAAATAGATTTCCATTCTACAGGTGCTAACAATTCAAATTATTGTATTTAAATCAGACACCTAACAAGTAATATGTCTGCAACTGTAATACTCTGCATCTTAGTTTGAAGTTTCCGTACTGAACAAAATAAACCAGACAGATTTTGCTTTAAGACTGTGAACTTGAAAATGGATACCATCTAAAGAAATTGTGCTTCAGATGCAGCACATGCAAGTCCTAAAATAATTTTAATCCACATATACAAGCCAAGGTTTGTCTTGTTAGACCAACTAGAAAAAACAAATCAGGTTTTTGAAAACTTGTTCTTTCTTCAGATCTGAAGAAGCTAAACATTTCAAAATTAAATTAGTTGAAAATAACTGCTATAATTTTTGTTAGACCATCTCTGAAAGAAGAGATATTTATGGAAGAGGAAAAAAAGGATAAAGTAGAATAAACTAATTACCTCTAGTGGAAGAAAAAATTTATTGCAAGGAAAACAGGGAGCAATGAACCTTTTCATGTCTGTAAATTTTGGCATACAGCAGAACAACACATTTTAGTTCCCAGAGCTGGCTTTGGAAAACTGTTTGCAGTTTTCCCTTGAGAATCACAACAAACATGACAAACAGCTGTCACCTCCATATGTAGTTTTGCATTAATGTCTTCTACCAGTTTTCCAAGAGTTGCTTTTGATGCACGCTGATGTTCTCATTTCAGCCTACACAGGTATTGTGAGGACACCAGGCTCCTGGCTGGAATATATTACATTCCAAAAAGTACCAATGTAGTATCTTGGCATTCTAGTACCCTTACTGTAACATATCTAACAGTGGGGGATGACTTAACCAGTTTTATACTTAATGTTTAGCAAGAGATATTCCTAGTCTGCATATTTTAGACTACAAAATCTTTTTCTGATGCACAAACTGAAGAAGGTTTTCTGTTTGTTTGGATTTTTTATTGGCTTAAGAATTTCACTTTGATGTGGTTCTGCTGTTTCTGGTATGTTTGCTGATTTGGTACATTTGTTTTCATTTTCTTACACTAAAGCTTTGTACTACATGTTTGACTTACTATGCAACACTTGAGAAAGTCTTCCAAAACCGGTCAGTATTGTTTTCATCAATAATTAGGTTAATTAACCTAAAAAGGTATCTTTAAGCTATTAAAACAAGTATTATAATAGCTCTCCTTAGACGAGACACAGGCAAAGGCCTGATTGTATATTGCAGTTGTTTCTGGTCTCTTTCAGACATCCTCCACCTCTGACAAGCCATAGCCTTCTTTCAGAGACACTTTAGGGTTATTCCTCCTTTTCAACATTTGACACTTCATGTACACACACAAAGAAAGCCATAAAATTCCTACTGGTACTGGCTACACACTCACAACTTACAGGTACATATAGGTCTTCACCTGACCAGCGTCAGGAAAAGCAGCAGCCAAGAATGGACTATGGCAAGTACAACTCACACAAACTATACCAAATCAGTTTTGTAATCATGTTCTTCACATGCCATTCAGAATGCTTCTTGGAGCACTCAGAAAAACAATGTACCCCGAATGCCATAGTTCTCTTACCCTGATCTATAGCACAAAAGAAACATTGGATGGAAATAAACAGAAGTGACACAGTCACTAGTGTTTAAAGTTTGGAGCTCAAATAGATACATAAAGCGCTTCCATCCTCCCATCTGTCTTGCAGGTTCTTTTTGTAAACCTCGCTTCTATAGTGCACTTAATCATATTCATTTTCTTGCCTTGCTGCATCTGACCCTCAGACACACCTTGTTTTAACAAACAGCAAATGACCAAAAAGTAATTTCACATTGGTGCTTAAGCACTACATGCAGCCAGGGAACCAAGTCTGATGTGTGCCAAGTACCAAGAATATACTGAAAAGAACACTAACCTGTTTATTGACTTCAGCCATGGACAGTTGTAATGCCATCAACATGCAGTCTGCTCCACATACAGTAGTCCTTTCAGAGTTGGAAAATAAAGGCCATTGTCTTCTGAAACACTTGACCAAATGTAAAATTTTTTGCTGAAAAGTAACCATTGTCCAGACTAGACGATAGGTATAATCAAGAGAAAAACAACTATGCCAGAGACATATGCAGGTCTTCACGTCCCAAAAACCTGTGCAAATCCTGTTGTATCTTCTTAAAGACCAAGTTTCTAGAATAAACTCTTCCAACTAAACCAGACTTGGCTCACTGTGACAGAGCAAGTATGAAAATAAAGGGTTAAAAGTGGTTCAGTATGTTATGCCTTCACAAAGTCCTTACTTTCTTTGTACATTATGCCAACATAAAGGAATGCTATCACAGATATGACAGTCTTTGTCTCCAAAAGCAGCCTCAGATCGTCTTCAGTACTTTCTGCATTCACTATACACAGTCAGTTGAGTGTCTATGAGGATGTTTTAATCCTGGAAAAAGAGATATTTAATATTTCTAAGAGTTACTAATACAGACAACTCTAAACACTTTTGTTACCGATATGGTCTTTCCCCCTTTTTTTTTAATTTTGATTTTTTTACTTCTATAAGGCATTATCTTCTCTGGCGATAATTGGGCTACTTCATGCTTTGGTTCATGCTCACCTTCCAGCATTTGTCAAGACAAGGTACATGACAACGTGGTACAAACTTGCCTTTAAACTTGTTCTTTTCTGAAACAAAGTTCCCTAACACCGCAAGGACAGTACAAGAGCAATACCCATCCCATTTACTTCCAGAAGACAAAACTCAACCTTTGACCTTTTCCCATACAGCTGAGGCAGAGACCACAGCGGGTTTGGTTTTTGGCACAGCTGTAAAGAACAAGGAAGTGTGGGCATGGAGGATAGGAGACATCGGGAAACAGGCACGATTGCAACAGCAACTTCGCACTCTGCAAAACAAGGGGACAAGCACTTGATAATGTGAAAGTCACATGGAGGGGGGGTCACAGCGGATGAAACACGTGCGCTGCAAGTCCGAGCGGGGCAGAGTAAAACCTCTCCGGAGACTTCTCTTTCTCCCCACCCTACGAGCTTTCCGAGGGACCCTACCTGTCGCTCCCAGCGAAACAGCCCGAACAAGTCAAAACCCCTGCGGAGCCGCCCCTAGCACCCAGAAGCCGGGATCGGAACCACCACCGCGGCCGAGCGGTGCGGCCGTTGCCGTGCCCCGAGCGCGGTGCCGGAGCTGCCGCTGCGGTGCCCCGAGCGCGGTGCCGGAGCTGCCGCTGCGGTGCTCCGGTTGCGGCGGGGCCGGGCCGGGGCCGGGCCGCGTTCAAATCCGCCGCGCGGCCCAATGGGCGCGGGGCCGCTGCCCCGGAAGCAGCCGCGCCGCTGCCGCTGCCGGGAACGGCGGGGCCCGGCGGGAACGGGAGCCGGGGAGCGGAGGTGCGTGTGAAGCGCGGCTGGGCCACCCCCGGCCCGGGGTAACTCGGGCAGCCTGGCTGGGGAGCAGCAGCTGGGCCCCCAAGGGAAAAGGAGGGAGTAGGAGGGCAAAGGATGCGCATGGATGGGGGAGGTAACGCGCATCCACGCGGTCCGGTTGCCCTAGACGTGCTTTCTAAAGAAGTGAAGGTAATCATACTCTTGGTGTTTTCAAGCTGGTCTGGCGGCCCATAATTCAGGCTGAGAAAGTTGGGGTTGTTCAGCATGGAGAAGAGGAGCTTGAGTGGAGATCTCATAGCACCTTCCAGTATCTCAAATGTCTCTACAGGAAAGAGGAGAGGGACTGTAGTGATAGGGCGAGAAGCAATGGGTACTTTCTTTGGTTGAAAGAGGGGAAACTTTAGTTATATTTGAGGAAGACATACTTTACAGTGAGAATGGTTAAGTACTGTCCAAATCCTGGCAGTGTTCAAGTGTTGGATGAGGCATTAACAGCCTTGTCTAGTAGATGGTATCCCTGCCCATGGCAGCGAGGTTTAGGACTATATGATCTTAAAGGTCTGTTCTAAGCCCTTAACATTCTAAGATTCTATAATTGCTTGTGTTCATGCGAAGCCTTGAAGGACGAAGACTTTTGATAGGATTAAAACTTGCATTTGGCTTTAGGAGCAAAGCTATGCAGGTTATATGGCTAAAATATTTATGGTAATATAGTGGACTGTTGTATGAATTAATACACAAACACACAACTATGGAGAGAGAGCCTCTCTGTGTTTGAGTGATGCCTCTGTCAGACCTGGCTGGCTCCCAAGCTAAACATTCAGGCCTGGATGCTGAGACCTTCGGGTCATTTACACACCAAAATCTGTCAAAGGTCTGAGATTTCAAGCTGATTTTCCACGTGGTGTGTAGTTAAAGCTCTGATTTCCTAAAACGACATAAGCTTATCTCAAATCTCTACTGGGACTACAAGGAATTGATTCTGAAATCAACTGTGTGTCTTGGCCTCTTGTGTTCTAGCACAGAAACCTGATTTTCATTAAAACTGGTTGAATGCACGATAGTGTTTTCATTTACAGTTTTGCAACCTTGGTTAACTCTGTTTTTAGTTAGACTCACAGTCCGTAAAGAGGTAGACAAGTAAAGAGAATTTGAAGGTAGTGATGTGTTGTTTCTTTTCATTTGGTTGAAAATGTTAAAATGCGGTTTGCGACTCTTCTGGAGTGTGTGCAGTTACTTGGTTTTTTGTATTGGGTTTTGTATTGTATTTGTTGGGTTGCCAAGGGTAGTACAGGATCTGCAGTTACTGCTGAAGTCTGAAAGAGACAGTTTTGAATGTATGTTAATTTAGTAAATATTCTGATTGATGAAACAAACAGGCTACATCTAATACACTTAACTGCAGCTTTTGTGTTCTTGAACATGTTACAGGAAATTTTTATTTGCTCTGCCACAAATACTTTGCGTTTTTTATTCATGCAATGAGTCATCTATGTTTTTTTAAATTTTTGTGTAGGAATGTGGATTTTTGTCCTGAAGAAGACACTGTTCCCGTGATACCTTGACTTAGTTCACTGAAAATGAAGCAAGATTCTACTAGAAACATTTCTTACACTGTGGATTGCGAGGATTATGTGCACGTGGTAAAATTCAATCCATTTGACTGTGGAGATCCATGTTCCCTCATTGCTTATGGTGGCAACAATTATGTGGTTGTTGGGACTTGCAGATTTCAGGTTAGTCTGTGTTACTGGTGTTTTTGTTAGATGCCCCTGAAACTGACTTTGCCAGCACCTCTACTGCAGAAAGCCTCTGGTCACTTTCCTGTTTCCTCCTCTCGCTGGGGTAAACAAGGGAGAATTTTACTTGTTTATTACACTAACAAGTCTAGGATACTTGTTTTTCAGGAAAATAGAAACATATATATATATATATATATATATGTAAAATACACACTGATACATCTGCGCTAATTTTATAGATATTTCTTTTTGGGGATGAACAGTAGAAATACTTAGGTAATTTTTTTTTTCTCACAGTTGTTTTTACTGGATCTCCCTTACAGACTGTAACAGTCTATAAAGTAAAATGTCTTACTTTTAAGTTATTTACAGTTATATTGTGAAAAATTTTTAAATGGAAACTACTGAGTATTGCATGTATTTATACTGGATAAAATGTTTTTCATTAGATGAGTTTTTTTGCCTAGATGCTTGACAATCAGTTGAAGACAATTGCTTGGAATTTCGAAGCTTTTTTCCTTCATCTTGCTTCTTTATTATACAATATTATTTTTGTAATTTGTGTATTATTATTAATAGTGTAGCTGATACCTTAATTATTATTATTGTTATTCCCCATGGTCTTACTGTTGCAAATTTTCTGAAGAGCACCTAGTGCTAACCAAAAAAACATACTAACGTTTGTGTTCCTCTCTACCTTGTTTCTGGTGTAGGCCTTGGAAAGGAAGTAATTCAAATTTTGATAACCACTGACACAAGGTGTTTTTGCTATAATTTTCTTATCCTCCCTTCCACATGTGGAGTCAATGACCATGTCACAGTAGGAGAGGAAAATGTTATTATTTCTTCCTGTTGAGAAGCATTGAAAAACTGTGGGTAATTTCGTGCATCTTCAGCTGGGTTCTGCTTGGCCCTCTACATTATGTAGAGGGCATACAGAGAGGTTCTTTATCTTAAAACAGAATTATGATATAGAGAAAATTGTGTAGGAATATCCTTTGAGGTGCTCCATTGGATGTACTGAAAAGTTTTAAAAGCGTTTTAGAGGTCAATTTATTGATGGAGTCCATAATCCCAACTCTTGTTTTATTTTTCCTGTTATCTGGTGTTCATATCAGTGGTAAGAATAAGCAAGCTTGTAATTAGGATTAGATGACAGTGAGCACCTTTTTATCTCCTGCTGTTTGAAGAGCAATGTTCTGGAAGTGACAGCATTTTCCATGGTGTGAAAACAGTTCAGAAAGAGGACGGATTAAATTACATGCTTGCTTTTGTTCCCATTGCTTCTTCTCACTGCAATGTGTGCTAAATTGCCATACTGTTTTAAGTGGCCTTAGTTCTATCTGTGAAGATACTAGTACAGAGAATTGGCTCAGCATCTTCATAGCTCAGTTCTGATTTTTCTGCTCTTCATTGATGTCTGGCTTGAGACTGCAATAATTTAATGTATTTCTAAGTACTTAAATATAATACTAAGTACTTAAATTAAATATAATTCTAAGTACTTAATTTCTAAGTACTTAAATAATAAACTAATGCTTTATGTATCTTGCAGATTTTATTTTTGAAGGTGTTAAGATCTGAAAAGATTGCAATATGTATAATTTTGAAAGCCCTTTCATTTCGTGGAAATCTGATTTGTTATAAGTCACCAAGACCTTGTTGTGAATCAGCTAACTGCAATATTTCTATAGGAGGAGGACGCAGAAGTGGAAGGCATGCAATATAAGACACTTAGAACATTTCACCATGGAATCAGAGTTGATGCCATAGCATGGAGTCCTGAAACTAGACTTGATGCTATACCTCCTCAGATAAGGTACTTAATAATAAACAACTACAGTGAATCCTTGTCTCTTACCTGTTTTCCCTAAGTCCTCAACATTGGATTGTTCAAAGCTTATGAGTGAAATCTAACTCCTTAGAAATCACTGATGAAGTCTCTGAAATCTTCAGTAGAGTATTTATTCTTATAGTCTTTTTTTGTTCATTTGCTTGTTTTTTGTCCTCCTTGTGCCCCTTGATCCTCTCCCCACTGAACAAGCTGTAAATAATTTTTTTTTCATTATTTTTATGGACCCCCGACATAAAAGTTTCTTTCCTTGTACATCAGTGAGGAGCCATTTCTTTTAAAAGCTTTAGTAAATGTGAGATCATTTGAATGGCCCCTTTCAAAACTATTTGCACTGATTTGCATAATATGTGCTGTGTTTCAATGTAGGTTAGATACTATTTGTGAGAGCTTTTGAGGTGTAAATCTAGAAAATCTAGAAAGATGGTTAGGTATTAAATGTGAACTTCTGAATTAAAATATACTCAGTGGTTTGATTCTTCAGAATTACCATAGTTGCTTACGACTCCATTTTCATACAGTCTTTTGGGTTAAAATATGTTGAATAAAAATTGGTTTATGAACTTTATATTTATGTATTTTGCAACACTGATAATTAGGGCTGTTTTTTGTGCCCTACCACTTAACTTCTTCCAAGGAAAGGTTCAACAGCATTTATGAGAGTTATTTCAGGTAATTAGTAATTGATCTAGATTTAGCTTTGTAAAAATGCCTGAATAAGTATTCTTGGCACTTGATGCACACTGTTTTACAGATAAACTCCAGTTATAACTCTGCTTGTGGCAAAAGCGGAAAAGTTAAGATAGATGCTTTTGGGGTTTTTTTTTCAAAATCTGTTTTTTCTTTGAGTCTCACTTTGCATTTTTAAGATGAAGGAAAACTGATTAAAAGGCAACTATTGCAATGCTGATTGACTGAAGGGCCTTTTTTTTAATCTGTTGAGTGTAGGTTTTGTACTGCAGCTTCTGATAGGAAGTTAAGGCTGTTTACTTCAGACCTGCAAGACAAGAATGAATTTAAGGTAAGGGCAGCTTATGTGATTTTTAAAAGATTATTTGATTTTTAGTGAAGTCTAATCTTTAATTGTCTTTCTGCTCCACTTGTGACAGATCCTAGGTTCATCATCCCTAGTGATAATAACTGTATTGTAAATACCTTTCTGTCTTTAAAGTGGGAATAACCGTAATTATCACCTACATGATCTTCTGATTTCCTTCAAAATTCTTCCTTTGAAACAATGTTCCAATCCAGGTACTGCTGTTAATTAAATGTTTGTGCTATCTAGTATAAAGTTTTTTTGGTGAGGTCTTAGCTAACAATAAGCAAAACTAATTAATAAAAAAAAAAAGGGAGAAAGTATTCCTTGGCTTTTACTGCTTTAGAATATGATAATGCCTCTTTGATGAGAATGGCTTATTGGGTATAAAGGAGAAAAAAAATAGATTTTTATTTTTGATGTGTTAATTTATGTTAGTAAGACAATGAGATTTGTCATACAGAAATTAAGTGAATTGTGGATGTCAGTTATGTGGCCATACTGCTAATAGAATGAATAAAGGCAGAGCATAAGAAGTGAAGATGGATGCTACTAAATGTCTTGAAAGAAAATGCTCTTTGTGTTGCTTCATGCATGCACATACTTTTAATTTACTTCTTTTAGTGTTGGTCATACATGATTTTGCCACTGAGCAGTGGCATAACTGACATAGTCAGCTTGGTGGGATTTCTGACAAAATAGTTGTAAAAGTTCTTTATGCTCTTTGCTTCTGAGTTGATGTCTGTCATTCCATATTAAAGTTGTCTATTTGTGTAATATATACAGTTTTGTGAATTTCAGACAACAAGCTTTAATGTTTAGCTGTGAATTAAATCTTTTAACTTAGCAGAATGTAAAGTTTCTTTAATATTTAGCTAATGGATTGATAATAAGTTGAAATAATGAAACAATGGGATAAACTTGGTACTACAGACTCTAGCGAGCTAAATTCAATACCTGAGTTCTAATTTTTAAATTTATTTTGGTTTAATCAGGCCACAAGCAGTAGTGTGGTCAGCCGCAGGAAGGAAGTGTTTGTGTCTCTGTACTTGGCACCTTGAATCCTCTCTTCAGTTTTGTGCCACTCAGAACAAGGAAGACATTGAGGTGCTGGAGCATGTCCAGAGAAGGCAGTGGAGCTGGTGAGGGATCTGGAGCGAAAGTCCTATGAAGGAAAGTCCAGCTGAGGGGAGTGGAGTTGTTCAGCCTGGAGAAAAGAAGGCTTGGGAGGGACCTTATCACTCTCTACAACCACCTGAAAGGAGGCTGTAGCCAGGTGGGGGTCAGTCTCCCAGCCAACAAGTGATAGGACAAGAGGAAATGCCTCCAAGTCATGCCAGAGGAGGCTCAGATTGGATATTAAGAAAAAATTCTTCTGTAAAAGGGTGGTCTAGCATTGGAATACGCTGCCCAGGGAAGCAGTGTGATCACTGTGTTCACCTTACAGATGTGGTGCTTAGGGACAGACCTGGCAGTGTTAAATTCGTGTTTGGACGCAGTGATCTCAGAGGTCTTTTCCAGCCTTAATGATTCTATGATTGTTTGGTGCATATGTAATACAAATGAGAAGTGTTGGCTTGAATTTAGCAGTAAAGCTATTAGCTTTGTTTATGCCAGCTCCACCACTGAAAGTAGCTGTCCAAGAACTTTATTAAGGATGTACTCTGGCTGAGGAAAAGGTAAAAATACATACTGTTAGTGAGTCAGGCTGATTAATGTTAAAAATAATGAGAAAACAGCTAAGAATACATGTTTTTACCTATTGGTGAGAACTCATTAACAAAAAGAATGTGGACTAGTGTGTTTATATCAGTAAAAGCTGTCTTTAAGACTGTCTTCTGGGGTTTTGTGATATAAAGTGTGGAAAACCCTTTCTGGCAATCAGTTAATTTCTTATATCTGGACAATCATTATACTCTAGATTACTTGTCAAGAAAAGTAACACCTAACTCTGATTTACATCACATGCAAAATCCCAGATGTTCACAAATTCTGGGTGAGCTATGCTGATCTGGCTTTCAATAAAGTTTGATATGGTGGCTTCTTATTAACAGTTAACTGATACCTCAGAAAACTGATTTCATAAACCTGAGGTGAACTCACGATGAACATGTGGAAAATTTTGATCCATTATACGGTGCACACTTGACACATGGGATCTTCAGGAGAGGTCCAGAACATGAAAACAAAGCTGAAGGAAGTATGTGACTACGTTCAGAATGTAATCTCTGAACATTTTGTCTTTTATAGTAAACAATTAGTAAGTGTTGCTTCGGGAGGGATAGACAGAGTAATCTTACTCTGTTTTCCCCGTGGAAAAAACTGTCTTGATGTAATTATCAACAAGGAACTTGAAGCACACTTAAGTTTTCCATTACTTTGTCGACACAACTAATCCAAAATTTATGGGTTGGATCAAGCCCAGAACAAAAAAACAAAAGGTAAAATATGACTGATGGATCTTCGTGAAACCTTTTTCTTCTTTTGAGGTTTTCTTCTGGAAATGAATTATGGCTTCCTTGTCCTGTTTCAAATTTTGCTTAATAAAAAGCATATTTCACCAGAACTGTAGAAGTAAAATGAAGCAGGATATTTGAATTCAGAATGCTGAAAATTGTCAAAAGACTTGGCATCCTGTCTAAATAGTTTAGCATCATCTTAGGGCCTATTAGTTCTAGTATAATCCATTAGGCTTTAATAAAATATTGGAAAAAAATAAGTTGGCTGCTGAAAATGTTTCTGTATTGAATTGATGAGGTATTCTTAAAACTTTTAGAGAGGGGGATTTAGTTATTGTGCGTGCTTGAGATTTTCTTTTTTTTAAATCAGTTCTGCATTTGTTCCTCAGAATAGCTACACTTAGAGGTGGTGTGTTTTTCTTTGAGAAAACTGTGGAATTTGTTTTCATTTGGCCTTGTTTTCCTCTGCAGTCTCTCGGTCTCATGGTATTATCAAGAGGATATTTTTGTCTCATTTTTATGATACCTTGTTGGGCAAAACAAAAGCAGCTGTGCCTCAAGACTTAATCAGTGGGACTGAATAGAAGAGGGTGGAACAGTAACAGATACATCTACACATGGAAATTTGCCTGACTTAAAATTTTGTGAGCTTTCTTTCAAAAACACCATAGGTGTATTTAATGAGAGATTCAGAGATCAGAGTTAATTACCAGTAATCAGAGTTCTTTAATGTAGGTAGATCATGCATTCATTGCCTGGTCATTCTCCTCTTCTTTTCTGAGATTTAATATCTTTTACCTTCAAAATGCAGTGGTTGAAAAGATGATAAAAAGCTCTAGTGTGATTCACAGATCTCTGTCAAGCAAAAGCATCAAACTGACCAATGTGCTAACTACAAGGAGTAGTGGGGAGGATTTTTGCACCTGCAGTATGAATCAACACATGAATTAGATACTTTAAAGAAATCCAGTTACTGATAAAAACTTTTTTTTACCTTCTATTAAAATATAGTTTTATCTTAACACACATCTTTGCATTAGCAGGTCTGTTAAATATATTGGTGGAACAGTCAGCTCTAAGGTAAAAGTATTTCTCTTTCCTGGTTGGCAGACATTTGATGGCCACTCAGATTACATTAATGATCTGGTCTTTGCTCCCAACGAAGGTCAAGAAATTGCAAGTGTAAGTGATGATCACACCTGCAGGTATGCATTTTGTTCAAAACACTATTGAAAAATCTAGTATTGGACTTTTTCTATCTGTGAATGTTTTATATGTCCACTTAAATAAATAAATACTTATTTATAGTTCTATTTTTTAGCATGTCTTCGTGGCCCTCTAACAAGACTAGTCCATTAACAAGATAAGAAATGAACTGTTCTCGTTAACTTAGATTGTGGACTGGCTTTTTGTTGTGACTTGTGGGTTGTCTTTTTTGAAAGCAATATTTTGAATCAGCTAGATTCAAAATGAAGAAAACTTTTGTCTTGGATTTGCATACACTATTTTTCCCCTTTTGGGATAGGGATAAAATGAGAATAGGAGAGAGCGGACATGTACAGCTCAGTGCTGAATTATACAGACCTTCTCTATGTATTCTGTCATCAGGTGGGTCAAGTTCAAAGTCAGTAACATGCGTGAACTTGTCCATCTACCCAAATGTATTAGCCTTACCAGGGGATGACATAGCCTGAAGAGAGCACCATGCTAATACAGTGGTACTGGCAGCTCAAAATACCATGATTACAGCTGCTTCAAAGCCGGGTGTTTGAGTATCTACAACTGGAAGTTGAAGGCAAGCATGGTTGAATGCTTTGAAGCATGCTGGGTAAAGGTTTTTGATGCAGGGGTTTGTCCTTGTCAAAAGGTCACCCATCTTCTTGTAGTGTCAGGAACCTATTAAACTGCTTCTCTTACCCCTCCAGCATTGCTGGAGAGATGAGGGGGGCTATGCAGGCATTTCAGGTCATTGCAGTAGGGCAGCAAGAGAGTTGGGATCTTTGACTTTTTTTACTCTGATGAGTAGGCAGTTTTTCCTTAGGTGTCTAGTCAGTATTTCCAACAAAATCTTTAGGAATGAATAGTAGAAATGTATGACTTACCTGTATCTTCTTCTGATTTATTTCCTATCCTTGATTTCTTTGTCAAATCTAAACTCATATTTGGCTTATTCAGTAAAAAACTGTTTGACTCTGGCCATGGCCTTTTCCTGTTTCTTTTATGGAATGCTTAGCTTTCCTAGGATGAAAGAAAACTGTTTTAAAACCAGTTGTCTAATTGATATTAATTTAAAGGGAAATAAAATGTATGTAATTAATATATACTAACAAGATTTCAGCTTAGTACCTATGAAAGACATTTTATGCCATAAACCATAAAGTCTTTGGTTAAAAGCCATGGGAAATAAGTAGGATTTTTTTTTGGCTACTTGAGTTCTTATTTTTTCCATTCATGCATGTGGGGCATGAAGAGTTTTTCTATTGAATTTAAAGGTTACACTTTCAAAACTAATGGAAAATGCATTCCTTGGGACTTACCAAAATCATTCTTTACTTACTCTGTAATTTGCTTCAGTAGTAATGTAAGAAGAGGAATAATTCTTCTGTCTGTACTGAATTTCTATTCTGAAATTGTTCTTAGGATACAAAATCTGCTAATGCCTGTGGAATAAAGTTCTAGAATAATTAGTACAAGTCTTGAGTTCAATTTTTAAATCTTAAAGTTTTCAAACAACTTTTCAGTATGTACTACTGACTACTGACAAGCACGGTTAGGTCTTCCCTGGTTTTCACTCGAGAGAAAGTTTACATTTCAGTTCATCAGAAATCTCTAGGGAAGTGAAATTTTCAGTTTTCATCCACTAAATAGTCTTGCCACAAGCTGCTGCAGCTGTGACATCTCAGAGTGGAGTTCAGTCATTGTGGTTAGAGGACAGACAGTGTAAGTTGGCTACTGGTTATGTCCGAAGTTCTTACCTTAAAGTTGCTGCTGTGTCACTCAGGAATTCTTGTTTCTTGCACATGGTCTTCATTTGCCTTGATCTCGCAACTCAAAACTTTTTTGCAGCTGTGAAGTAGAACTGCACTAAAAATAATTGAAGTAGTTATCTGTGTTACGATAGCTTTAAGGAATATATCATTTAATTCCTTGAAATGGTAAGGCATTATACACTTCTTTGAACATTTACATCAAGTGTAGGAATGTATGCATCCCACTTTGTTAATGAGATCTCTGTGTGTGTGCAAGTCCCTGTGCACCACTGTCCAAAAAAAATTACTCCTGGCTGGCCTTTTCCTTATGATTCAGAAACACAGTCTAGGAGGCTGCACAGATTCAAATGTACAAATTACTTTTTTCTGATACTTAACAAACAACTGTGGGAAATGTTTGGAAAAAAACACGAGTTCAACTGACAGCCTCTGCTATTGGTGGTTGAAGACCTGGTGTTTCCAGAATTAGTTAATGCAAAATACCATCCTATCAAAACCCACTAATTTCATATCCATGCTAAAAATGAACCTCTTGACTGTCAAAAGGTTAATTCAATGCGGTTGATAATCACCTCATACTCCCTCCTCAGATGGAACTGAAAGGTTACTGACACTATCAGACCCTGAAAAATACTAGCATGGCAATTTCTTCTGGTCATCGAGTGATGGAATGGCTTGTATTTTGAAAAGCTGAAAAAGACTCATCCATCCCTTTCTCTCCCTCACTCTCTCTTTTTCTTTTAACTATTTCTCAAACTACATCCTCTTCCTCTCTTTTTAGTGCAAAAGAATGTATAGTTGAATTATCTTCCATGTTATCTGTGACTATAGTTGCTTCTTGATTCCTTACTGAGTTCTGTTCATTTCCTTAGGCCATGGCTCACATCACTTCATAGAGGACTTTGTGAATTCATCAGTCACTCTGAAGTTCAGCCTTTTCTGTTGCCTGTAGAATAAATGTCAGACCATGAGAAGATTAGTTTTGTTCTCTAACCAGGGATTAGGGGGCAAGGTTTGATGTCACTGAAAGCTAAATTAACTATAGTTTTAGAATGCTTTGTAGTGTTTCATCTGGTTTTAAGGGGGTTTATCTGTAGCATATTTTTTACATGGTACTCTCATGCCCTAGGTATTTTGTGTAAATTTTTCTCTAGACAATATGAAGGAAAGCTAATGGTTGTTGTTCTTGTTTTCTTTAATGTATTGCCAGCCCAGATTGCACTTGAATCTTACCTTGATTATTCGATAAATATTTCAGGTTTTGGCTATGTGAAAAGTGGTTATTATCACTTATTTCTGCCTCCAAAACCATGTTCTGTTTGCATCTTATCATTCCTAGTACAGTCAAGTACGGATTTCTGTCAGAATCTTTATTAAAGTTGTCATACCAAAATACTTCTTTTTTCTGAGGTATGCTGGTTACATTTTTTCAAACTAGTCTGCATTATAATTTATGAAGATAAAGAAGTCTTGAATTGTTTTCAGAGTCCAGTCTTTGAATTTGCACACTTGTATGCATCCCTGTATGTCCCCCAAATATAGTCTTATGCAATTCTGTTACATTGTACATCCATGAAGCATTAACCAACTGGTATTGAACAGTGCAAGAATTAGTCATCTGTCAGCTTAAAATAAAAACAACCAAAAGCTTTCTGGATTAAATGTTTGGAACATGATTTCAGTCTGATCTTAATAAACTTTTAGTTAGGAAGTCTTCAAAATATGAGGATGATGGAGAAATTTCCTTTGTGACACATTATGTTTTATGTTAAGAATAACACAGCCCTAGAATGTAGTCTAGCCTATAAATGGTTTTTCAATAGAAATCTTTGCATTAGATTTGTTTAGAAGTTTTATATTTTAGAAAGCCATCAGCAGAATTGGTAGTTGAGTTTCTCAGTAGCAGTCATACCACAGAAGGATTTAGTGTTATATCCACATTGGGAACGATAAGCTGATAGCTCTTAACAACCATTTTTTGCTCTGGCTGAAAGGACAGAACTGAAGTGTCATGTTTGTTTCAAAAATGCTGCGTGGTTTCTGGTTTTGCATTGGATAACTTTAAAGGTATTTCAGTAGTAGTAGTAGAAATGTGTATTTCTTGGACTTAGTTCTGAGTGGGCATGGCCTGAAATGTGTATTAGTGAAGTGGAGATACTGCACTGTGTCTCCTGCCTCTACCAACACTACAGGGTATAATTGCAGCCCACAATTAGCTGTGAGAAATGGATCAGTCTATTGATTGCATATCCAAGTAGATATCACAAGAAGCTAGAGATAACATGGTTTTTAATGCCAAGAGCTGAAATATTCTAAGTGCTTATTCTTTATGAACAGTGACATTTCCTTTGATCACCAAAAGAAAATGGTGAACATGGGTCGGCTTTCTGAAGGAGTATTTGTACATTTCCTCTGTGAAAAGACTTCATAAAAACTTAAATATTACACCTTTCTCTTCTAACCAGCCAGAGGAATTTCTACAGTTCCACTTCAGTCTTTCATGTCTTGCCTAGTACCCTCTGGATCTGCAATAGCCAATCCATATGGAGCTGGCAGAAGACGTTAGAGAAAGCCAGTGTTTGTTGTATTTTCTGCAGAATTTCCTAATGTCTGCACTTTCATGTTCCTTTTCTGAGATCTGCTCCTCACTCTTTGTGCTCAGGGAGGAACCTTTGTGTGATCTCAGGAACAGGAATTTTGCCCTTTTCCATAGTCCTCTAGACTTTTTAAGAGTGATAGGATTTTCCTCTCACATGGAATATTTCTGATGGAGATATAAAGGAATGTATTAAAGTTAGATACTAAAAAAAACCCAACCAAACCATATTGGACAGGAGTAATGAATCAAGTATAGTTGATTATGCTTTGTTGAGAATCAGATGTCAAGGTTTCTTCTAGCCCTCACCCACTCACTAAAATTGTTAGACATTTTTTGTTGGAAGAATTCCCATTTTTATTCCCATCTTCTGGGGATTTGAGAAATGCCTGAAGATTGCAATCTGGTTTAGTTCTTTTACTATTGTAAATGATTATTTTTATCCAGTTAGTTGATTCTGCTAGTTAAAATTATTCATAATTAAGAAAATTAGAAGGTAAAATAAGGATCATCATCATTACCACAAGTTTTCAGAGTTCTAATGAGGTACTTGGCCAGCTGTAATTAAAGTCCACTGTATGATGAAATTGCTGCACATATGCATCCATATTCGTGCATATGAGATATAATATAGTTGATACAATGGAATTTTAATATCTTCAAGCTGTGAGATAACTGCAGTTTTCATTTGTTTGTTAGTTACAGGATTTGAGGGACAAGAGAAAGGTCCTAGTATCTCAAGAATTTTCTTTGACAGCATTTGCTGCTATCTGTATTTGGGGTGGTTTGAGTTTTCTGAGTACTGCAGTAAATAATTTCTCAGTCCTTAGTTAGTTAAAAAAAATTATTTTACTGAGAAGATTACATGTTAATTTTGAGACTATACATCAATCAAACTTTGGCACGTCTTTCAACTTTGTTTATTCAAACTTTTCTCCAATAATTTTTTTTGTGGAATTTTTTTTAAATATCAGAAGAAAATGCCACAAGCTCAGTGAAAAGTCTATGCCGCGATGGTTGGTTGGAAGAGAAGAAGTAAGATAGTGACATATTGCAGGGTTACAAAAGATAAGGATATTTGGAGAAAAATAGACAGTTATTTTACTTTGGTATAAAATCATGGTAGTATTAGTAAGGTTTCAAGAGCTTTAAATGGGAGACAAAATCCTCAGTCTTTCTGAATTGTGATAGGAATGTGGACAAAATGGGGAGGCAGCATCTGTAGCTGATTTGGTTATGATTACTGAGTAATTTAGGAATTGCAAATCAGTTTGGCTAAATTTTTGGGGTTTGCACATTTTTTACTTAGGTTTTTCACAAAGAAATATTGAAAAAGTTAATTGAACACATATGTAATTGGGTAGACTTGATGCATTCAGACCAGGATCTATCTTGATAAGTATTGCCTTGTTTGTGTTTTGGGGGTTTTGGGTTTTTTTTTCCCCAAAACTAAATTATATTATCTTTGGTAACAATAAAGAAAATATAAAAGAGGTTTTTATCCCTTCTCATCCCCATACTGTTTGTTACTAACAGTCCTGCCATTCTTACAAAGTAAAAAATACAAATTTGGTAACTTTATAAATAACAAAGTTACAGAGGTAAAAAGCATAAATTTCTGTCTCAACACCTAATAACATCACTCACTTCAGGGAAGAAAACATAATGGTATATTCCTTTTGCCAAAATGATTCACCATCTTCTGTTGTATCATAATTTTCTCCCTGCACAGTAAATACACAGGGGAAGTGTTGATTTGACTTGGACAAATCTACAAGGCAAAACTTTTGGCAATAGAAGAAAGTATTGTATGTTTCTAAATTACCTAATCAAGTAGATATTTCATTTTTTAAACACTTGTCAGGTTTTTGTTTTGACTTTTTTTAGTAAGCACACCGATTCTTCAAGATTAGAGACCCTGTGTTTTCTATGGGGAGAACAAATATTTAATCTATTGTGGTTTGGCATAAGAAAACAACATTGCTCATTAAATATATTTACTTTATTCCCATATATTTTGTCTAGACTTATGATGTATTAGTTAAAAGTTTTTTTTAAATCTCTTAAATATAAGGCTCTAAGCACCCTGGTGAGATATAAACTGAAAAAGTCTGGAGGAAGTCAGCAAAAATCCTCTAGAATAAACAATAATAGTATCTAGCCACTCATCTAGCTCAAAAGACTGAGCAGAACACTGCTTTAAAAATTGGCTGTTTCTCAAGTTTTGCATGTCAGAGAGGAAGGATATATGTGTACGTTTCAATGTCCAAATGTATATAAATAATACATAGCCTTGTGGTTCAGACTGATGTTCACAATTGTGGTGTCTTTGTCCTACAACTGAGCTATCGATTTTGTAGGAAAACAGGGAGCTGAGCAGTGGCTGTGAGGTATAATAGTCTCAGTTTTGGTTTTGTTGCATTTCAGAAACAAAGTAGCTCCATGGCTCATTACAACTCATCTTGAACACATCCAAAGAAGACTCACTCATCACCTAACCTAATTTTGGTGTTTCAGCATACATGTTCCTGTCCATCCGTATTGACCAAATACTGTTGATTATTTAATTTTTTTATAGCTGCCAGATATGTACTGTAGGTGTTTCTAAAGGAAAAGGTAAAACTGGTACATGCAATTTACCTGTTGAAAGTTCTCCAAGACCCTTTTAGGTTAATGTTACCTCTGCCATAGATCCTTCTTGAAGCCTTAGCTTCATTTCTGGTTTCTTATATTTTCATTACTCAATCTTGTCTTACCAGGAAATACTGGAAACTCTTACATTAAGCAGCCAAAAAACTTTAATAAAGGGTGTTGCCCTTTACATGGCAACATGGATGATTTAAGTTGTTTGTACCTCACTTTAGGTTCCTTGCATCAACTGGACCAACACTGCCTTTCCTGCTTTGTACTGCCTCACTGCTATTTATGGTATAGTACAAAGGCTGTAGTGTTGACTTATGAAAAAATAGGAGCATCTCACTGAGTTCATGTCTAGATAACTAAAATGTCAAACTATTTGAAGAGTTAAATAGAGGCTCTACCTAGCTCATCAATGTTAAAATACATTATCCATAGCATTAGCCTCTTTCACTGACTTCTTCAAATGATACTGCATGAACACTATTTCATTTGGTCACTTCCTCTGTGAACGTATTGAGGCACTGAAAGTTAATGTATTTGCAGTCAAATGGTAATAGTTTAATACTTTACTTTTTTTTCTTTCTTTCTTTTCTCCCCAGGGTCTGGGATTTGGAAGGAAATGAGAAGGCCCATTTTGTTTTACGTTCTGCTGGAATGAGTGTTTGCTGGCATCCTGAGGAGGCTTTTAAGGTTGTGGTTTTCTCCCTCACCACCTCTAAAATAACAGGAGGGGGGACACACCTAAAGTGTGAATCTTTGATGCTGTAGTAACATTAAAGTTTGAGGACTTAGTTTACACTGTAACTGGATACTGGTTGGATCTGCTAATGTGAAGGGACTGTAAATGAATTTTCATTGCCATTCTTGTCATTTTACCCTCAGTCCCTTACTCCTCGCATCAGAAATATTCCTTCTTTATTAGGTACATCAGTTGTTGATAACTATTCTGCTGATTGCTTATTAACTGACAGTTACCAGAGAAGACCTCAAGTTTTCTCAGTCATGGTAACACAGCTCACCAATAATACAGACTCTTTACAGAACATGCCAAGCTTTGAAATGTATCTGTTTGAAGTTAACAAGGGATATTTTTGTTGTTGTTCTTGCTTGAAATGTATGAAATATGTTCTGAAAAATCAAATCAATAGACTGTGATTTTATACTTATCTCTTTATTGTACTGAGGAGGATTAAACAGCTGGTATGTACCCAAATATCCAGCTTCATTAATGGTCTAGTCCCTGCAGTCTTGGATTTATTATTTCTATTGTGCCTATCAATAACTGCCTTAAGCAGCTACAAATGGTTGTTGGGGTTACCACAAAAACACATACTTAAAACAGAGAAAAGCAGTCAAATAAGATATCAAAATATTTACACAGCAGTAGGGAAGGAGGATGTCTAATCTCATCACACTTTCCACCAATATCAATATCCATCCTTACTAAGAAAGGAAACTGTTAACTAGGAAAACTGTTGATTCAGGTGGCATCATAATTTAATGGGTTAGCTGCTGTTTGCTACTGGACAACTTTGTAAGCACAACAAAATTAATATATTTTCCCAGAAATACTGCAATAGTATGCCAGTCTTAGATATTATTAGCATGACTTTTCTTTGACCATTATCAGAGATAGGCACAGGGGGTTTTTTGGTTTGTTTTTTTTTTTTTTTTAAAGAAAAGCCCATTTAAAAAGCTCATAAAACTTGCTAGATTTAGTTCTCAGTGAAAAGCTTATTGCAGGTCAAAATGCTTACTGCACCATGACCTTTAGTTTGCAGGAAAGCATGTTTTGGTGACAGTTTTCCCAAACAAATGTGGGAATCCAGGGCTTCCCTCTTTACTGGAGTATTTTTTAATGCTTCTTTGCCTTTCTTAATTATTGTTCACGACTATCTGAAAACCATTTCTCCTCATGAAAAAAAATCTCATTTCATCATCTGGGTATTGCAACAGGTTTCCCAAAGAAGTTGTGAAGGCTCACTCCTTGAAGTGTTCAGGACCAGGCTGGATGGAGCCCTAAGAAATCTGACTTAGTGGAGAGTGTCCCTGCCCATGGCAGAGGATTGGAAAAAGAGAATTTTTAAGTTCCCTTCCAATTCAATCCTTCTATCATTCTATAATTTAATGAGGAAGCTCTTTCTACAGTACTTAAAAACCACTGCTTGAGTGTATTGCTGTAACAGAAAAAGTTTAGATAAAATCTGTTGCAAACTTTTATAAGATAAAGTAAGAGATCTTATATAAAATCAGAAGGAGTGGTTCTACAGATTTTACAGCCACAGCCACACCAATACTTTGCTTAGAATGGTAGAATCCAATTTAGGTTGAAAAAGACCTCTTAAGATCCTCGAGTTCAACCTTTGAACACCATCATATCAAATAAACCATAGCACTAAGTGCCATGAACAGTCATTTCTTGAGCACCTCCAGGGAGGATGACTTCACCACTTCCCCGGGCAGCCCAGTGCTTGACAACCCTTTCTTTTTTACATCACTATGTGTCAGTGGGTTCTTTGTGCTCAGAACAGAAGCTGCTGAATGTTAAAATAATAACTTTTTGATGTATGAAAGCACAGTGCTTTGGTGGTTGTGAACTGGTGTTTCTAACTACCAAAATTATACACATAGGTACCTATAGACATATAGAAATAAAATAATGTAATCATTATGTATAACAGTGTAACAATAGTATAGATTAAAGTGGTTTTTATTTATTGGTTACAGAGTGTCCAGGAGAAAGTTTTCTGGTATTAAGTAAAAAATTGTATTTAATTTAGTATCATTAATATTTGCTTGAATGTATTCTAGGTTTTCTATGGAGTGAAAAAAAAATAATTTCCATTACATGCTAAGTTTACCACATTCTATGAATTTCTTTTAACAGCTGATGGTGGCAGAGAAGAATGGGACTATACGATTCTATGACCTGATTACACAGCAGGCCATTCTCTCCCTGGAGTGTGAACAAACACCACTGATGTCAGCAGACTGGTGTTTAAAAAATACTTTCAAAATTGGAGCAGTTGCTGGAAGTGATTGGCTGATCTGGGATATCACTCGCTCCAGGTATTTTTATGCCCATGGCGTAGGTGTCTTTATTCTCTTCATGAGGAAATGAAGGTACTTGGCTAATAGAGCATGGCAGTCACAGAATCACAAATGGATCAGCTTGGAAGGGACCACAGTGTGTCAGCTAGTCTGACCTCCCTGCTCAAGCAGGGTCATTCTAGAGCACAAGCACAGGATTGTGAATGTCTTCAGTGAGGGAGACTCCACACCTTCTCTGGGCAGCCTGTTCCAGTGCCTGGTCACTTGAAGAGTAAAGAAGTTCTTTCTCATGTTCAAGAACTTCCTGTGCATCAGTTTGTGCCCATTGCCTCTCATCCTATTGCTTGCAGCACGGAGCAGAGCCTGGCTGCATCCCCTTGACACCCACCTGCAGATACTGATGGACATTGATGAGGTCCCCTCTCAGTCATCTCTTCTCAAGACTGAAGAGGCACAGCTCCTCCAGCCTTTCCTCATAAGAGAGATGCTCCAGCCCCTTGCTCATCTTTGTATGGCCCAGTGGTTAGCTAAATTAATGAACAATTATCAGGAATTATGATACCAGGCCATTCCCTGGTATTCTTTGTTTCATCTTTATCAATATTTTATGTTAAAAATGTAATGTTGTCTTTTTGTCCATTTGAGATAGCATCTCACTACTGTTTGCCTCTCACTGTATGTATTTGTTAAAATTTCATTCCAAGTCAAAAGTAGGTAGGTATTGATCCATAACAAACTGGACAACTACTTCAGTTTTCTTACTCCAAATTGAGATTAAAGCTGCAGGAATGCTCTGGTTTTCCCTCGGCTGCTTCACAGGGAGAAGACAATGTGTCCCCTCACTGTACTTTTGGTACTTACAGTATGAGCTGTTTGCAGAACAGTTTTTTACCCTGAAAATCTGTTTTAATTATGATAGTTTTGGTACTTCAGAGCTATTTGCATAACAGTTTTTTTACCATGAATGTCTGTTTTAGTTATCCACAGGATAAGAGACCTGTCCATATTGACCGAGCCAGATTATTCAGGTATAAATGTCTTTGTCTTGATTTTGTGGGGTTTATCTACTTAAATCTATCCCTGTGCAAACAGTTGTGAATTTAGTAACCTGGTTGTGTCTCACTTAAGTAATTTTTAGGGGGACTGGGTCTATGAACTTTGTGAAATTTGTGAATGATCCCACATTTAGTATTTATGTGTAGCATGCGTGTGATAGTTTTTGTTGTTTTACAACACTCTGTATATGGGGCTGTGGGTAGGGAATCATTTGCAAGCTAATTCACTAAATCTGTTTCTCTGCTGTTAGAATATTTGACATCTTCGCAGTTAGTCCCAAGGGAGAGAACTCCACTTTGTGTGCACTTCTGCTGGTATGACAGGGGTGTTTGGAAAGAACATTCATTTTATTCATAGGTGGTCCCGAGTGAATGAAAATCTGTTTGCAACCACTGGATATCCAGGAAAGACAACTACTCAATTGCTGGTTCATCATTTAGGACATCCCCAGGTAAATTTTTGACTGGAGTTGCATCTGTTCTCCGCAGATCAGACTCATATTACTTAAAAGCTACAGTTAAAAATTAGCCCAAACCATTCAGAACTGCTGCTTGGTGTAGCCATTTTATTTTATTTTGGTTTGTGGCATTCGTGCTAAGGAAAAAAAATGGTTCATACTTAAAACTGCTATTTTAGAAGCTGCTTGATCTATATGTTTTGGTTTGGTTTGCCATATCAGTTCGAAGGGGAAGAAAAACACCTTTAACCTGATATTTAATTAATATGGCAATATTTCTAGTTCTTAGGAGGCTAAAAACACCTAATGGTATATTTTTCTGGTTTTAACTAATTGTATTTTAAATAATTCATAAAAATGCAAAGCATAGGAAATATTTTGATTTTGTGGGAGTCAGTATATATTTGTAATACTTACAGTAAAAATATTACCTCCAAACATATTAGTTATGAATTCATTTAAATAACGGAAATAATTTAATTTAAAAAGGTTTCTAAGTTTGATATCATGCTTTTATAATAATAGTGTTTCTGCTAATGTAAAGAGTTGGAACTATTTGTTATTATGGAATATTTTGTTACTTAAATGTAGTAAGCAGCTACTGGAACTATGTAGCAAAGAATCACATTTTTCACTAGAACTTCTGTTGAATTTTAACTATATTTGTTAAGGAGTATTTAATCTCTGGTCTTTATTTCTCTATGCAACTTGGTACCTGCAGTTTAGTAATCATTTATAAGGGAAGTTGTATTGATATTTTTCTTGCTCTCACTTTGTTTTTTACAGCCCATTCTTACTGGAACTGCAGCTGTAGGATCTGGTTTGACATGGCACAGAACTCTTCCATTATGTGCAGTTGGAGGAGACCATAAAATTTTCTTCTGGGTTACTGAAATGTAAAACAAGTATTTGCCTTCAATATGAAGCTTGACAGCATGCCTTTTTTCTAGTAAAATGAAGAAATTTACTCTTTGTGATGGTTTTCACTTGGACAGCAGAAGAAAGAAGCAAACAAGATACAAATCACTCGTGTTTGATTTTTAGCTTGCAAGCACAAGACCTTTTGAAAAAATTGGTTATCATCCATCTGGTTCTTGGTTATTTCTATTAAAATAAAATGTACTTTTTAAACATGGTATTTGGTGTGAAATTAATTTTTTTCGGGAGTTTTAAAAGAGATTTAGTGTCCCAGCATCTCAATCTGACAGTCTAACTCAGTTAACACAGCTCAAATATCTGAAATTGTGCAGAGTACCTACAGAAAGAACACCTCTCTATAATTAACTTTCCGAACTGTGACTATCTTATAAGAAAAGAAATGCAGTAGTGTCATAAAATGCTGTTCCTGGATGTTTTGGAATAGTTAACTACTACCAGTGAAGAAGCTAATGGTAAAATCAGAATGATAATTTGAAGCAGTTTTATTTCTCTAATTACAACAGAGGGATTTACATCAAGCCTGTATTGTCAAACAGCATAGTGAGGTTTTTTCCTGCTTATAGCCTTTTACTTCCAGTCTTTACAAGAAAACCAAAGGCATTCTGCTTTCTAGAAATAAATTTTTCCTGTCCTTCCCATACAAGACCCAGAATGGAAGTAAAAGAAGACAGAGATGACTCCTGTCTTAAGTATCTTTTTTGCATGCTTCTGCAAGTGAAGGGATGTCAGGATGTTTCACTAGTATAAAAGCTCCTTACAGCATTGTAGCCCTCTTTACTAGCTGTAGTTAGATTTTAAAATATTTGTTTGTTCCTATTTATGTGGGATACATAAAACCAATTCAGAAGTAGGTCATGAATAAATTAAATTACAGTCACCTTTTGAAACCTAAGACCATATTATATTTCTCATAATCCTTTATCCTTGAAAACTTTTGCTTTCCACCTGACACCAAAATTTACCTAAAATGAATATAAAGTTCCTTATAAGTTCTAGTGGACTGGTGTGTGCCTCAACTGTAAAATAAGCAGATGTTTCAAGGTAATAGCCCTCTGTCTATCCATTATCTGACCAGAGATAGCAGCCTTAAGGGAAGGTTTAATTCACTTGTAGCTAAAAATCTTTGTGGCTCTGGGAGGAAGGATTGGCCTGAGGCGCTGTTATGCTTTTGGTGTGTAGTGGAACTGAACAGACGTGGGTTTTTTCTGTCCTCAGAGCAAACTTCACACAGTCCTGCCTATGCAGAATATATCCACTATACTCAGGACCCATACAGACAAGGACAATATACACCAACTCTTGAGTGAGACTTTTTTGGTTTAGAATTGCTTAAGACCCAAGAGGGCAAAGAACAGAAATTCTTCTGTTCTGTAGTTAATTCAGAAACCAGGATGTTTGCTTTTCATGCTGTGTTTTTAAGGACTACTTAAAACTGTTTACCCAGGAATTATCTTGCCAAGTTCAAGGCTCTTCATTTTACACTGGAAAGAAGCAATATGGATATTTAAGTAAGAAAGTAAATAAATAAATAAACAAGAGAGCAGCTAATGTTTTTAGCATGCTCTCCATGCTCTTTTGTACAGAACAAAGTAATTAGTTAATCCTCTCATGTTGCTTCAGCAGAGTACTTGGAAAACTGAAACTTGACAAACCATTTTCAGAGAACTGCAAAACATTTATCATTTAGTTTCCTTTTTGTTTTTTAAAGAAACCTACGTAATACCTAGCATTTGTATTTCTCACTCTAACTCTGAAGGGCTGATAATTCTCAGAACTGTTTGCAAAAATTGTACAAATTCTGGCACACTGAGATTGAGATTGGAGGGGACATTACTTAAATTCAGCATAGAGAAAAATCATTGAGGTAATATCAGTTTCATATAGAAAACTTTACTAGAATACCGTTTGCAAGCATGGATTTAGAAGACTCCATGGGAAATCAAGCAAATGTTAATCCACACTGATATTTTCAGCTGTTCATTGGACCACCTTATTAAAAACAACTATTTCCCCTTCTGGAGGATCAGGTGACACTATGTCTGGAAATATTTTTGGATCAGCTTTTTGTTTCTGTTTAACTTGTCTCTCAGTTGTATAGCTATTTGAGTTCTGGGCTGCCTCTAACCTGAATGTGGTGTCCTGGGACCTGTAACAGTATATAAGCACACAAGATGCATATGAACATTGTAAGCTTCGGTAGCACTTGCCAGTTTTTCTCAGCTTGTGCAGTTTTGTTTTGCAGTTGACCTGAGGCTCTGATTCCCTGCAACATATGGAGCAGATCAGTTTCAATGCTTTGAAACCCATATTCTTGCCTTTACTTTCCTGTGTACCCTATTCACAAGTCAGGTATTTTTTACCAATGATGAAGATAGAGCTCTGATCGGTTTTCTGTACACCGGCTTTTCCCCTCCAAGTTAGCCTCAGCATCTGGAAAGCTGACATCTTCAAAACACTAATGTTCAACCAAACTTAATTTTGGTAACTCTTAAACACTCTTCAATCTCTTTTCCTTCACTGGAAGGTGGATCTACAGGACAGGGCCTTTAAATGACAGTGTATATATGTACACATGCATAGGGTATAAATTGCCAGCAGTTACATTCTGTACAGTACTGATTCCTCAGTCTGACATTTATCATGCAACATGGGTGCTGGTAAAAAAGATACATTTTCAAATAGTACACACTATAAATCTAGATGTTATCACTCTTTTTTTTTTTTTAAATCCTCGCCTTGGAAGTTCAGTCATTTATATTTACAGCTGAACGAGTTAGTTCAATTAAGACTTTTTTTAAGAGGCTTTGGAAAATTTCAATAATTTTCCTCAATTCTCTGGTTTTCAGTTTTCATATCCTGCATTTCCTAACTCCAGCTGGGACGAAAAAGTGCTATGTTGCACTTTTTATGCAGTATTTTTGGGCAAATTAAAAGCAGGAAGTACCAGAAAGTTCACAAAATACCATATTCTTGGGAGATTTCTTATCCAGCTTTACAGACCAAGACATCCAGATAAGATCTGGCTATGCATTTACATTAAGTTTCAGTGCCGTTGCCTGGAAAAATTGTATTATAGACACTTAATGATAAATGAGATTAATCCTTCTTGAATATAATTTAGCTGGAATTTTAAGGTAATTATAAACAAATAAATTAGTGGCAAAATAACTCAAGTTCAATAAACAACTCTGTTGCCCAACACACATTTACAGAACTCCTGTAAGCTAGGAATGAAAAGCTAAACCCACTGAATTTTGTAGGTTAGCCTGCTGCTCGCTCATCCTTTGGGAGAGGTGAGAAACTGAGCCAACAACATGTCAGTGCTCCAAAGGAGGGTATGAATCACACATTGTTCAATAATTCAATTAGCATGAACAAAAAACCACATTGTTCAATAATTCAATTAGCATGAACAAAAAAACTTTGCTATACTACCTTAGTAATAGTGTAATAATGATGTGCATATGACAGCAGGTTAGTAACAAATACCTTGTGGAAGTAATAAAGCCAAAAAAGCTGCTTCAGTAAATAAATGAGAATTTTATGGCAACTTGGGTAACAGAACTGAGTGCTCTGTGTGCAGCTTCCATTGATTCTGTATGTGGATTTGTAAAATGCCTTGGCAAACAACGATTTGGAAGTAAATTGAGAATTTTGGTAAATTTTAAACCAAAATTTGCATAGTACATCTGGGATCTAGTCTTCAAAGTATTACATTAATTAGTACGTCTTTATTCATCTCATCAAAAGAGAAGTTTCCACCTGACAGCCTCAGATTATGATGGTTTCCTAACTGCCCTGAATTCATAAAATACAGCAGTATTTAGATGTAAACATCTAAATATGGAAACCCAGTGCCATATCTTTGGCTTTACTGCTGTAAACAAGGACTCCAGATTTGTCTTTTTCGGAAGAACCCAGAGCCATTCAGTGCTCCTTATTGTGACTCCCCACATCCAAAGTGTGCCACTTCCCCACTCAAATTATGCGTGTAGCACAGTTCCTTCACTGGCTTTTCTATCATTTCCTTGACTTTGACCGCATGGGACGACACTCCCCAAATAAACACCACTACGCAGGGCCCCGTCCAGAGGCCTGTGGAGCGCTGGCTGTGACCCGCACCGGCATGGCCGGGCCCCTCAGCGGCTGCCACCACTTGCATCGCAAAGCGGGGGGCAAAGAAGGCACCCCAGAAGCTCGGGGTTTGTCCTCGGGGTTAGTCCCCGGGGTTTGCCCCCGGGCCGTGAGGGCGGCGGGCCGGGACTGCGTTTCCCAGGAGGAAGCGCGGGCGGCGGGCGCGCCCCGCCCCGCCCCGCCCCGCGGAGCTCGGCGTTTGTTTCCGGGCCGCGCTGCGGAGCGCGGCCGAGCTGCGGAGCGGGGCTGCCCCGGCCCGGCCCGGCCCGCGGCCATGGACGAGGACGGGCTGCCCATCGTGGGCTCCGGCATCGACCTCACCAAGGTACGGGCTGCGCTCGCCCGGCGCTCCGGGGCTGCCGCTCCTCCTCCGCGGCGGCGGCTGCGCTGGCCCTGGTGCTGGGCGAGCCCCGCCGCCCGACTCCCGGCCCGGCCCGGCGGCAGCCGTGGGCGCGGCTCCCGTGCGGTGACGGTGCCGCCCTCGCCCCCGCAGCGAGCGGGCTCTGCTCCTTACCCGTGTCTCCTCCTCTTCTCCTGAGGCGTTTTGCTGCAAGTTGTGCGATAACGTTGTGTTTAAAGACTAAGCCGTTTCAAACATCGATCTGGGAGGCAAATCCTATACAAAGCTGTGTATTAATTTCTTTAAATGTTGCAGAAACTTTCTTTTTAAACTTAGTTTTCTCAACAGAGAGCATAAAGAGAGGATAGTTCCAGTTGACCCAGTGATTTTTCCATGCTCTGTGCCACCCCAAAGGTTCCTGCTAAGGTCGTAAGCACTGCTTGGCAAATTTTGGAACCACAGAACTGAACTCCAGCAGATGCTGTTGTACAGTGCACAGGCTGAAGGCTCGAGATAGTAGCAACAGAAGTCTCACAAAAAGGATGTTTTAAGATTGCCGTAGTGAGCTGTATATTGAATGCACTGATAAATCAGCGACTAAAGAAGAGGTGAAGACCAGAGTCGTTGTAGTCACAAAAAAAATGCAGCAGAATCTTGGCTGCCAATAATATTCTTTGTAAATCTTCCACTTAAATCAACGACAATTTCATAGGCTGATTTCCTCTGCAAAGGTTAAGACTTAAAGCAATTGTCCAAGGTTATTAACCCTGAGGCACTAAAATTTTAGACATAAACTTTTGTGTGCAAATTCCTGATTCCAGTCTTCTGTAATGGTTTAAATAAAAATGCCAGTTCTGTGTTACAGTATGACCACCATTCTATTTGGCAAACTTAAGGTTCTACATATTAGTCTGAGAAATATGTGAGCATCTAAATTGATTTGGAGAATAATTTTTGGCAATTTTAGGTAATCTGGACTTGCAAGTGAGAACCAGTAGGGTAGCCACTAAATACTTCGACAGCAACATCACTGCACTTCAGTTTTGGTCATGGTGTTAGTTGTAACTGAGTATTAGTATGGCTGGCCAAATTTGGCTTTCCTTCTTAAACTCCAGAAGGAAAGATTCTAATTTCCCCACTGTTTTTATAAAATCATTAACACTGACTTTTGGGAATATTCACAATTTCATCTAAAGGTGTTTTCTTTAAGATAACAGTCCTTCATTTCTTGGGTTTTGTTGCCTTTTCTATGTGTCCTGTAAATTCTCAGGTGTTGTGTTAGTAGATTTTTAGTGGCAAAGGATCTGTATGAATGAATATGTGTGTTAGAAAATGGTTTATCTATGTATGCATTCATAGCAGGCACAAGACAGATTTCCAAATAATTTCTTCTAAAAAATATACATTTATAACAGATATTTCAGTTCAAATTTGGAACTTGACATTGATTTGTAACCTAATTTTCTTATATTTTTTAATGCAGGTTCCTGCTATTCAGCAGAAAAGAACTGTAGCATTTCTAAACCAGTTTGTTGTTCACACAGTGCAGTTTCTCAACCGCTTTTCTACTGTTTGTGAAGAGGTATGTTTATTATTTCCCCAGCTGTCCCTTTATACATTTAAAAAAAATTCAAGAAATGGGAACCACTCATCTAAATATTTTTGATGCAGTAATACTGGTAGCTTAAACCAAAAATGTAGTCTGCTTTCTGTTCGAGGTTTCTCTTTAGTAAGTGCTTAAGACAGAATTTTTCCACAAGGGATCAATATGAACTCCTGATTGTGCCACACTACATCCTGTTTTCTTAAACTTTTGTATTTGGCACAGTTTTTGAACTTTTTGACACAAGGAATTTATTCTGAGCAGCTTTATCTCTGGTTCTTATCTTGTTATGAAAGAAAGATGCCATGTTCTTGCAGTGCATCAAAACTTACTTTCAGGTTTTATCACCTTTAATTTAAAAGAGTCATACACTAAGCACTGAATGTAAATAGTTTTTATGTTGAAAAAAGGAATTTTTTGGCAAGTGATTAGTATAGAAATGAAGCCCTTAACTTCAGTTTCCTGTAAAAAGAGAGAAAAATAAAAATAAGATTAGTACGTTTATGTGATGACTTTAGAGTCAATGGAAATACATCAGATCAACAAGATTAGATTTGTACACTGAACAGGACAAGAGTCCTCCTTGTAAAAAGAGTGTTTTCTAATGTGGCTTTGAGGGTAACCTTTTTGTCTTTAGAGGTTTTTTGTACTTCTTCATTAGTTTATTCAACAAAGAATGCTATACAGCTCTAGCCAGCTGAGCCAGGGCAGCAGTCACATCCAATTAGACTAAGCCATGTAATCTGAGAAATTCTGTTATTTGTTGGTGAAGTTGAGAGCCAGACGCGTAACAAGTATAAGATTTGGCTATTATATGAATATATGGAGCTTCAGAGGAAAAAAGTCATTTTTCCTAGGTTTTGAAACTTCCTGTAACTTGATAGGTGGGACAGTGTAATCGCCTGGTGATGCTGTTGTCAGTTGTCCAAAACTCAGTTGTGACCTGATCTCAGTATTCCCTCTTCCACAGGCCCTGTGGAAATCAGAACACGTATATTTGAAGCCACCTTGAGCACACAGCAGCACTGTAAAGTCTGCCTAATAAAACAGTTATTAGTTAACCAAAATGTGTTGTTACTCAAGAGACTAAATAGTTGCTTTATATACTCCTTGAGAAGTTTTTCATATTCATGAAGTACAGAAGTGTTTTTATTGTGAAAGGTCGCAGTGTAAGTCAACAGAAGCCAAGAAACGCAAAATCAGGGCTGACACCATCCTTAACTCTAAATTTCTTGGCTCTTGTCTAGTCAAATAGACCCATAAAATTGCATAATTGTCTTTTGTACATCTTTCCTCCCCCTTATCCAGTTAAATGTAGGACACATAGTTCCTTCCAATAGGAACTGACTCCTCTTCATGAACAAAGGACCATCTGTAAACAAGTCAGTGCTCTATCCAAAAAGACTAACTCCTGTCAGTCTCCTGCTTTTTCTAGCATATTGGCAGAACTGCCATTTTCTTAGGGTGTTAAAGTTCTGCTTCAGAGCCAGGCAGAATCTTGCCAAGGTGCCAGAAAGCTGTCAGAATGGTACGTATCTGCCAGCCAGCACTCTAGCCAACTTCACTTGGACAGGTCTGGTGGAGTATGGTAGTGATTAGTTAAAAGACTGGCAGTTCTTATGGAGTAATTTAGAAAAATTTAAGTTGTATTAAAAAAAAAAAATTCAAAATATGATTGAGGTGCACCTGGAGCATATAGTGTCAGGTTAGTTGTGATTCATTGTGGATTTGACTGTATAGGACTTTGAATCACCTGCTGTATTAATTATCAGATTGTCTCTTGGTATTTGCTCAGGTACATACACACACATCATCTCCTTTCATCTTCCACATTTGGAAAAACCTTTGAAGAAAGATCTTTTGGTAACTGGGAGAGCACAATATGGCTACCATTATTGTACAGTTGCCCAAAGTAATACCCTATTTACTTTGGCTTTCTTTTGTAAATAATCTGTCTTCATTTCTGTCATTATATGGGAAAACCAACTGCAGAGTAAAATTATTTAAAATTTATACTGCTGTAGCTACTGTTCTAAAAAGAGTTGTCATTGCTTCATTTATTTCATAATGTGATAATCTCATTTACACTGTACTCTGCCTTCAGCAGGAAGAAAAGTGATTTTTTTTTTTAACTATATGCAAACTTTTATATGTCCAAGTGCATATGGGAGTGTTTATACATCCTAATTGTTTTCTGTTGTAGAAATTGTCAGCACTCTCTCTCCGTATACAACAAATTGAAACCACACTCAATATTCTGGATGCAAAGGTTTGTATGGATATAGACTTCATCTTCTAACAGTGACAGCCTCCTAGATTATGTGAACTAGCTTCATTTTTAGAGTCTGAATTGAGCAAGTAAGTTTTCATAATGATTTGAAGGAGCTAATATGAAAGCCTGATATCAAAAATTCTCTCTTTAACTCTCTTCTCTAGTTAATGCCTTACTACTTGTACTGTGTGACATTTGAATATGTAGTTGATACAGAAGAAAGGAACCAACAGTACCTAGTAGAAAATTTGGGCTTGTTAAGCATGTGAAATGGGAAGGGAACACTTTTTGCCATACAAATGCCAATAAGAAAATTCTTACCCCCTTTGTAAAGCAAAAATATCTTTGTCTGTTACTGGACTGTAACAGCTGATAAAAGTAGCTAGAGAGAAGCCTTGTAAATCTTTTGATACTGAAATGTGAGCAGAACTGGATCTAAGCTAATGTAAATTTGTTTGATTTATCTTCTTTAGCTGAAATGACAAAAGGTCTTAGACAGGAAATACAGCATATCATTTACTTGGAAAAAAAACCTGACAAAATCCTGAAGTCAGTAAATCACCCACTATGGAATTTTAACAAGTTCTTCTTTCAATAATGATGGAGGCAATTTCAGTTGGCTTTTCTGGGAGGAAGGGTTGAATATTTTGAAAGCGTTCATTAAGATGGCATGGCTCTCATGTGGTTGATAAATGCAGTAGCAAAATACTGGGAAGGTGTGGAAGTCTTTCCTGCTCTGCAACCCTGTGTTGACAGTGAAAGTTTTTATTGTAGAAGGCAGCTGGATAGAAAGATTTTTTTTCCCCCATCAAAATGCCAAAACTAGGGGCAGAAACTTAAAATTTTACTGATGTAAAACCAACCTGGAAAATAAGTGGTAAGCAGCGTGATGCAGATTTTGTTGTACATGTAGTCTTATGAACAGCTCATTGCTTATTTGATGATGTATTTTGCATTCAGTTATCCTCGATTCCTGGCCTAGAAGATGTCAAATTTGAAGTGTCCAGTGCAAATGTCAACAGTGTTACAAATGGTCCTGTGGCACAGGCTGCTACAGATCAACAGAAAGCTGGATCACCTCAGTCTGGAGTAAGTAATAAAGCATAACTCATTCCTTGGAGGAATAGGGCTCTCCAGGTCAAGTTTTTAATGTCATTTGCAGTAGATAGAAGAAGCAATTCTATTGGAAGTGAGCAATCAACTCTAAAAGTCAAAGACTAGGCTTTTCTCTACTGGCACTGTTTTAACAAGTGACTTAAAACAAAAAAGTACCCTTTATTAACTATGTGACTTAAATAATTAGAACTAACTCAAATCTAATGATAAATTTCTCCTTCCTTTTCTTCAATCACACTAAAATATGAACATGAATTATATGGTGCTGGCAAGGTCATGAATGAAAATAATAGTTCAAATCACATAATTGCAACTCTTTCTTCCTTTCATCAGAATGTGAGCTTTTAGCTCAAATTGGAATTTCTAGCATGCTTTTTTCTAAAGAGTTTATTACATTGAAGGTTTTCTGTATATTATTCTGCATGTACAGTAAAGGCCAGCTTAATACAAGCAATCAGTATTAAGATACTATCCCTGCAACTAACTTAGTGTCATTTTGGGGAATTTCTTGTGTGTGGTGGGTTGATTTTTTAAACCAGACATTTGAATCCCATGATCGATCACCACTTAACTAAGTGAGCCTTTCTGGCCCATTTGTAGATGGAGTTATTTTCCTGATTTCCCCTAACAGTTTCTTCTTATGGAATCCTCAATTCTGATCTCTGCTCATTCTCTTATTTGGTGGAAGTTGCTGTGGAGAAGCAGTAGCTGGAGCACTCTGCTGCTTTTGCCTGCCTGTCAAATATTGCAGCTCTGTTTTGCAGGCAGCAGCAGGGGAGACACTGGACAGCATTGCATGTTCCAGCCCCATTAGAGAATGACTCACCATGAGTTCATTTTCTTTAAAGTGTTCCTCCTCTCACATATGGAAGTATATAAAGTATATTTAAGTATATAAAGTTCATATATTTCTGAAAGGATGTTCCCAGTGCTGCTTTCAGGTGGTTAGTTTTGTAGAAAAAATAAAGTTTTCTGTGTTATTTTAAAAGTGCTAGAACTTGTAATTTTTCATTTAATTTAAATTAAATACTTTCAAGGAATCTTTGATTTCATTACATTGTCCTTTGAGTAATGATTTATACTCAAAAGTATAGTTTAGAAGGTACATGATATGTGTGGAACCTTTGTCAGCAAATCAAATATTTTAAGGAAAAAAGGCATTGGACTACTGGGGGAAATTTATAGATATACTCCTTATAAATATTTTTTATAAAAAGACCATTTACATTTAATACTGTGATATTTATTAAATGCAACTTAACAGGGTTTTTAGGGCCTTTTTGGTTTTTTATGTGTTGTTCAATAACTTAAAATTGTGTCTAAAAGTAGAAGGACACTCTTGTAACAGCGAACAGCAAAAGAGCTGGATTTGTCATTTCATACATCCAGGAAACCTCTAGTTTTGTGAGTGTAGATCAGAATAATCTTGATGAAAAAGAGTTACTCTTTACCCTGAAATACTCAGTTTTATTGTTTGGAATCTCTCCATGGGTGTGGTGCATGCACCTAACCATTAAAGGGTTTGTTCTTCACATACAGCAGAACAATACGCAAGAGGAAGGGTTACAGAAGACGGAGGTAGTAACAGAAAATGTCACAACTGTGGCCAAGGATCCAAGATATGCCAGATACCTCAAAATGGTACAAGTGGTAAGTCAGTTCTCATGTCGTTCTTTGGCTAGGATGTTATTTTTTTGTGGAATGTACCACACAGCTGTAAGTGAACCTTAAATGTCGGAAAACATATATTGCAACAGTAATCTTTAAGGTAGGATAACATCATAATATTCTAGCACATCTTTTCTAATAAATGAATTAATGCAATATATTCCCTCAGACAGCTTCTGGCAAGATCTTTCTGCAAAATTCTGCTGGTAGACTTGTGAACTGAAGGTGTGAAATGTGTAAATGCAAAGTGATATTAGCCGGAGGCACAGAAGATGCCAGAGAAAGTGGAGTTGCCCTGGCAAATTGGAGTAATTCCTTGCATACAGACTGATTACAGTCTGATTTTACTGTAGGGTACAAAATACAGCTTTGCAAGTATAGTCCAGAACAGGAGTACTTGATATTTCTGTAAGGACCAAAATAGAGATATAAGGATTGCTTCACTGTCTGGTTCCACTCCAATTTCCTGTTATTCATTATGCAGGTTTTGTTTACATCTTTATCTGTGGTCTGTGCTGCAGATAAATAGGAAACAAATGATTGTAATCTCAATGTGTGAAATCTCATGAAGGAATGAGAAGATGAATGGGAGACTATTTGTGATATTTTTAAGAGGTCGTTTCACATCCACAAACTTAAAAATGAGATTGGAAACAAAGAGTTTATTTCAATTTATTTCCAATTTGACAGTGGAAATTTTACTCTAAAATACATATTATAATTCTGGAAAGTATGACTATGTCATAGTATTAATAAAATGTTGCTTATATTAAAACTAACTTCATGGTTTCACTCAGTCTTCAGAGAAATTATTACAACTGGTCTACTTCATCCCTTGAATGAAGCAGAATGAATCCCTTCATCCCTTGAATGAACCTTGAAGGTTCCAAACCTTATTTTTCACTTGAATCACAAACTGGTACTTTATGGATGGCTTATTACAAACCATTTGGAAAACCTAGCAGTGGGATAATAGCAGAGAATAGAACACTATGTTACTGTATTGATTTAATGCCAGACTTCAAAGTGGATTTGAAAGTGCTGGATGGTCTAATTATTTTGAATTTTTTTTTGTGACTGCTAGAGGAGTGTGATCTCACTTTCCACATTTCTCCTGTGTACTGGCAATCCCTGGTGACTCCTCTGCCAGTTGTAAACAGTGTGGTAGGAAAGTCAAACTAACATCCTACAAATTAATGTGTGTTTTTGTATTTGCCAAACTTGTCTCCTTGTCCGGTCAAGTATTTCAGTTAGTGTCATTTATTTGCCTAAATTAAGTTTTTAGCTGAAGATTTGTTTGAACTGATAATTTATTTATTACTCACAATGTTTGTAGTATAAAAGAGCACCATTCTACACTAAAAGTAGATCTTCCATGAAATTGTGACAAACTCATTTTGGTGGAGTGCAATTGAGGACACTAAATTCTTACATTTTAAAATTTACAACAATATTCCAAGAAATCATACAAAAGCAGTACCATATTTGCAGATTAAAATTTAGGAAAGCATGAAAGGTAAAGTAATTGTAATGCCCTGGTTGTATTATAAACAGATACAGGTGCAATCGTAATTGTTTTCCTTCAGATAAGGATTCTAAAAGAGCATTTTGATTAAACTTCAGATTAGTTCTGTGAATCTATGATATATGAGGGTACTGAGAGGATTTTTTTTCTCACAGATTTTAATGCACACAGTGCTGGAATAAAACATACTCCAAGTCTGAACATAAAAACAACCCATTCTTAGAAATCCTATACAAATTCACTTTGATTGAAATCAAATATGAATTCTGCCTTGCCTGATCTGACTGAATTCTATTTTTACCTGGTTTAAATTGATGCATAAACAACTCATCAGTGACTTCTGAGGTGGGGAAGAGTACCCGAAGAGCAGTCAAGCAGGGGAAAAGCATTAGTACTAAATGGTTTGTAAACACACAATCCCTGCTGTCCAAATCTATACTAGAATAACTGAATTTTTAAACCGTCATTAAATACTCCAATAAATATTCAAAATATTCACCTTTGTAATGCACATGGGTTATGAAGTACTGAGATACTCTTTTATTTCCAGATTTTACATTGCAGCTACTTGAGTGATCATTTTTGACATTATGCCTGATAGATTGCTACAGCTATGTACCTGTGTGTGTGCTGTTCCACAGTGCTCATGCACAAGCCTTGATTGTGATTCTTACTGTGGAGCTGCCATTAGAATCACATCTTTCTCTGGAGCATTAGTCATGGCTGCTCTTTACTTTAGCACTATTTTACTTACTTAAAAGATACTAATCCTACACTACTTTTCATTTAGAATTTCTTAGACCACCAGTAACTTTGTCCCTTTCGAATCAGAAATTGTATCCTCATTTGGTTTGGGGTTATTTCCCCATATCCTATATTGGCATTGAGTGATCCAGATGGTATGTCTGATGATTTCCAACAGGAGATGGCAAAGCAGCAAGTTGCCTTTGAGCAGCTCTAGTGGAAACATAGGAGCAGTTTGTTGGAATGTATCTCATGAGAGGACGTGGATTTTGGACATGTGATCCAAGATTAGAGGATGTTTAGGTGTTGATGAATAAAATACAGTGCAAAAGCTGTGGAAGGACTTGCAGGGTATTTTTTTAACATTTGGCTGAAATCTGTCCACAAGTCACAGAAGATTCAAGCCTGACTGCACAAGCAGTTGTATTTGGAGAATTCACTTCTAAATTGTGCTTTTGTTCTCATGTTGTTTGCCTTTTTCTCCATGCTTTATAGACTTCTCCAGCTGTTAGCACTGCCTTACAGGATCCTTCCGGCGTGGTAGCAGATGCACTTCCCTGGTTTTCTTCTCTCTCTTGGGTATACCTTCAGTATGCCTGAGTCTTTCCTAGCACAACTTCTCTGCTGTCTTTTTGCTACTTCGTGCTTTCTCCATATTCTTATCCATACAGATAACTTCAGCTTTATGATTTTGTCTGAATGAATTGCAAGTATATCTATCCCCTCTTGATTCTCTCCCTGCAACTTTCTCTAGATGTTTTGCCATAAATATAAAGTGGATTAAAAGGGCCTTTAATCTCAATAATTTCTTGCTTCTAGGTTCATATTGATGGGAACTGATATTAATGTTTCATGCTGTTGTTTGACAAGTGACATGCATAAATTTATATGAAAGTGTGGTTTAAAAGTACCTGAGTTATTCAACTCACCTGTTTGTGTCCAGTAGTTTTATATTATTCTTTCTTCTGCTACACAGGGTGTTCCTGTAATGGCAATACGAAACAAAATGATTTCTGAGGGGCTAAATCCAGATCTTCTTGAGTAAGTAATTTGTAACTCCCAGTAGGGCTGCAGATCAACTGTGTGTTTAAAAAACTTGGAAAAACATGTGCATAGAAAAGGTTGTTCAAGGTGTTGTGAGCTATAGCAGTGACAAGCTAGCATCTGACAATGTGCATTTAGCAATGAGGACTCAAATAAAAGGTCAGTAGCCATTTTCAGTGCCCTGTGTAGACTATGAGGTTTTTCCCTGATACTTGCTTTCAACACTCCAGTAAGAAAATGTCATTATTGTAGAGTAGTAAGAACAAACTCTGTCTTATTTTGCTGGATGCATGAGGGACAACACAGTTGTTTCCAGATTCCCTGAGTAGATGTAGTGTACAACTTGACTTCAAAATTGACAGTGAAAATTGAAGTCAACAGTTTAAAATTTTGGCTGTTGATTGAGCTAATCTGATGTGAAGACTACTAAGAATAGATAGTAATTTTCAAAGTTTCTTGTCTGGCCATAAACATGAATTCTAGTCTTACTTTACAGTTGACATTTAATTTAGTTCTACTGTATTATTTCACAGATGTTGTTAAACTGAGGAAAATACTAACTTTATTCTTGCATTACAGACACCAAAACGTTCGAAGTATTTTTGCATTGTTTTCAGAAACTGTCAGGGTATTAAAAAGTCAATTTTTCCTTTCCAGTGAAGTCCTTTTACATTTTATAAGGGCTTGTTCTGAAACTAGCTACTTGTTAAATAAAATAAACCTGAAGTATCATCATATGATGAGTCACTTTAGCTCCCAGCTACTTCCTGGTCTAGATAAGCCCAATATAGTTATTCCTCAGTTGTTTTTTTACTGATTGAATGAGAAATTAAAAAAAAAGACCCTGTGCAAGTTTGAGATAGGTTTAGCAAACACAGGTTTTCTATATGTGTGTTAAATGTTTTGTATTTTTTTCCTGTGCTTTCAAGTCCATACCTTTCTATAAATGCTGCTATTTCTTCATGTTCGGGTGGATTTTTGTAGTAGATAAAACAAAAAGATAAGGGATTAAAAATTTTTAAGCTGTTTTTTTAAAAGTGTCTACTTTTGAATTGTCTATTTTGCATTAAGACAGAAATATTATTACTGTGGATTGAGGCTCACAGAGTATGTTTGGGGTTAGATCTCAAAATCTATCCTCAAAGATCTGTGCAACAATAATGCTTAGTCAGATTTTCTTTAAAATGTTATTGGTTTGAAAACTGGTTAAAGAAAGCTAATTATTTGGCAAGGTAGACCATGTTAAGGTATCAGGGGTGACTTTTCAGTTTTCTTGCTTTCTTGTTGTAATACTATAGGCTTCTTCTTTTATATGTGTCTTGCCATTCACACTGCATTTCTTGGGTCTTCAGCTTCCTTAGGTCTGCTCACTCAGTCCCAGAGAAAATTAGGAAAATGTACACATGGCTGTGTGCTCAGTCACTTACTGCAGACTCCCCCAGTTCCTTGCCATTGGCTGAGCATGGCTTATTTGTGGCTGTAGATGTGCTAATTCTAATGATACAATATTGTTTCTACACTCTCCTCTTAGCTTTTCGACTTCTGTTAATGCTCCTTTCTCAACTTTTTACAGCATTTGGTAACTGCCTGTTCTCAGCAGTTAGGAAAAAAGCTCCCAATTTACCTGTCTTTAATTTTGTTTCTTATCCTGCCTCCCTTATCTGTCTTCACTTCCAGAAGAGTTTGTCCTGCTCTTATGAACTAAAGGAATTCAGCACCATCTTCCTCTTCTTAATAAATGAGAGGTTTTGCACTGGTCTCTCATGTCTTTGCACAGCTCTTCTGTTTTGTCATTACCATGGCAACAAAGAAGAAATAATATTGTGAAGAGGTATTTGCATGAGAAAGCAAATGCTTTCTTCGTTTGTTTTAGAGGTGTGCAGGGGGCAGGGAGAAGGCTCTTCTGCAGTTCTTTAACACACTTCTCATCTTTGAACAAAAAATGTTTAGGAACACTTTAAAGTTACCTTAGGGATTCCCAACAGAGAAATAATACTAAACAGAACTAATGTTGGAAAAGAAATTCTATACTCCCAAGATAAATAAGACTAGGATGATTAATACAACTGTCAGCTTAGTTTAAAATGCAATATTTTATCCAAGAGATGTTAACTGTCATACAGGAAGTGAGTTTCCCTGAATGTCCTTTTCCCTCAAGTATAATTATGTGTGTATTTTCTATCTTGGTTTCAGCCTTTATCAGGCTCTGTATTGCTTGTATGTCAAATTCATTACGTACTTAGGAGGGAAAGTCCATGGAGAGCCAGCATCTTCAGGCAGTAATGTTAGTTTAGATGGCTTGCTTCTCTCACCTTCATTTCCAGTGGATTCCCCAAGCAAACATTTTGCCACAGTGTTAAGATCCATCCTAAATACTCTCTATAAAACTAAATACAAGTGATCTGATCATATGTAGTCAATAAAAATCCCGTGGCTGCTCTTGCATGTCAAATTTAACCCAATGTTCTAGCCAAATTCCACTCTGAGTAATTCTTTTTTGCTTCACTAAATTATCCCTGCAGTTTTAGTTGGATACAATATTGTTCATTTCCTGTGTTATTTTTTCATGTACTATTTACACTGCTCAATGGTGTACAGAATGTTCCTTACAGCCCTGCAACCTCTGAAGATTGAAAAAAATTGAATTAATCATTATTGCCTGCTTTCAACTCTTTCTACAAGTGTTTGCCACTTCTTAATGATCTGTCATCATTTCTGATGGCATCAAAGGCGTGCATTCACATTGGTGTCTACGGAGTTTTGATGTCCAGTGTGTTACAGTTTCTAGTGTTTGCCTTCCAGTTGTAGGTGAAGCAATACCACTAAGGTGTGAGTTTGTGAACCATAAACAGTTAATGTGTTAAATGTTGTGGCAATAAAGTGCCTGCAGTTGTGATGCAGGGACAGTGGTGTTACGTGCTGAGCTGCTTGTGCTCTCAGCTGGATTGACAACACAGAATGTTTTTGTTGCCTGCAGGACCCCAGATGCCCCTGTGCCTGCCTGGGGAGATGATGGCAAAACAGAAGACAGTTCTGATAGTGAATCTTCATTCAGTGACTGAAGAGACTGGTTCCAACCCTTGTAAACCTTTATTAAGTGCTCATGTGTTTGGAGCTTTGGCCGATAATGGTTTTGCGTGGATCACACGGATGACGTGGCGTGGTTTGTCTGATGGTGTTTTAAGAACTAAGATCTTTCCTATTCTATTCTGGAAAGTCTGAACAGGCAGCATGTTTCAACCTGAGCCCTTTTCCCATGAAAATGAATCATGAGATCCTTGCAGTTTTTATGCTGCATCATGCCAGATTCATTTCTGTTTCTGCTGAAATTACTTTGTAGGGTTCTAAAGATCCCACACCTCTAAACCTCCATGTCTCTAAAACTGCATTCTGGTCATGGTTAGATTTTCTGTGTAACACATTTAACCTACATTGCCTTCTTTCTGCCCCATAACTTAAAGGTTTAACTTTGAAAAATTGAAGTGTTTCATTGATAAACTGTACCTTGTTTACAATATCCTGTATCTGCAGTGATGCTACAAGAAATACATAAAAGTCAACTCTCTTATGGTGATTGCAAATCAGTTATACTCAGATTTGAGAAGAACTAAAATACAAGTGAAAAATATATTAAAAGCCATTTTGAATCTATTTTCAAAGCATATACTGCTATTCAGTGCCACTTTAGAGTCTGTATGATGCTGTTAAAGGAACTTCTGCTTTTGAAGGGTTGATTTATCCAATTCAGGTTGCAGTGTTGTAGAAAGGTACAAACATGGCAAGATTGATTTGATAATGACACTGGGAAAAAAAGCAAGGGACTGGGAGATCATGAATGGAATCTCACTACTTGTTCACTGTTATGTGGGTCAGTTGAAACCATTTTCTGATTTCATTGGCCTTACTCAAAAGAAACTGTGGCTGTACAGTTTGCTTAGGATGAGAAATCACCTCCAAGTTGGTGCCTTTGCTGATAATTTAATCAAAGAAGCTAAAATTCAGGTTGTATAATGATAAAACTACCTTGGCACCTCATTGAGAAACAATATAAAGAAATGCCTGATGTGCCCTGAAGATTCCCCTCAAAATCACTTGATGTACTCCTTGACTCAAAAATTATATTTCATTAAAAAATCTCCTTTAATACAATTTGTTCCACATGAAATCCTTTGCAATCTGTTTGAATTCCCCAGATTGTAGAGATTACACCAGAATACTGTGTGCTAGGCAGTCATTAACTTTCTGGTATTTGACATCTGTGCTGTGACCAAGAGAAGACTAAAACTGAAGTTACAAGTGTGTAAGTTTGTTAGCCTTTATGACTGGGTCAATACCTTCTCTCTTAGTCATTTGTGCCACTTCAGTAGGTTATATGCTTTTCTATTACCCTGCAGCTTAAGCATGGCTCCCATTTCAGCCTAGCAGACATATGCTCTCCATAACCTGTAAATCAGAGTAATGCCTGAATCCCTACAAAAGCATATATGCACTGGAGAATGTCTAGAGATGGTATTTCAGTGATGGGTTAATTATTATTGAACACTTAAAAATGTACTAAATAGTTAACACTTAGTAAAACACAAAAAATATTAACGTATTAGCAATAAGTATTTAAAATGTAAATGTGATAATGTTATATCAGAATGTATATATTGAAACACTCAAGACTTTTTAAAATCTATATTTGAAAACTCATTTAAGCAGTCTGTAAAATAAAAGCTATACTTTGTAAACCAAAGTTGTGGTTTTATTTTCTTCCTATATCTTGTTCTAAACAAGACAGTGAAAATTCTTCCGAAGTCTCTGCAATTCATGTTTCTCTAGAATGAGCTTTGCTGAAGTTGTATCAGCCTGCTAACCAGAGGGAAGAGTTTTGGAAATTGGGGTTTGGAGTTAATGTTAACCCATGTACCCCATAGTGGCACTCTGACTACAGGAGAACTGAGCATCCCATAGCCACTGTTATAAGAAGCAAATTTAAGGAAGGCTGAAATTAATGTGTATTTTATGTTTGATACTTCTGAACTGACATGGACCTATGTAAGGAAGTAGCATGATTTAAAGAGTTGAATTGAGACATAGTAGTTAATTATTTTTCTTAAGAAAAAAGCAAGGTTGCCAAAAGACATTTAAGAAGGTACAGCTTCAGTTGTTTAACATTCTGAAGAAACTTTTCTTGTAAAATAATTTTAGTTTGAAAAGAAAAAAACTAAAATCAATTGTCTTTTACACCACTGCAGATACACTTTTATACGGAATGAAAAAGAAAGCCTCTGGCCTACAGACACTTGATAAAATAAGGGATAATTAATCAGTAATTATATATGTCACAGAATAACAGTTTCATTAATAGAGATTGTGAATTTAAATGCTTAGGAATTGGATGATCTTTTCAGGGTAGATGACTGGAGTATTGCAATGTTAGTAAACTTGCAGAAACATTAAGAAAAATCTTGCCACTTTGTCTCCTCTCCCAGTTGGATGGTGACTAAATCTAAATGTCTGAATTGTGAGGAGCTGGGAGGAAAAAAAGATAAAACCATCCTTTTTACTTTCAGTGTCTCAGAAGTCATATTGCTTCCACTATCTTTGGAGCCTCTGCTCACTTCAGGCTCTTCTGTTCCTGAACACATCGCTTTGCTCAAGCTGTAGCCACATTCACTCTGAGATGTTTCAGCTGGCAGGAGGAGCTATTAAGTATGGGAAGGTTGGTTTGAGACTGAATTATGTCAGCTGTGCTGGTGCTTCTTGATCTGCAGCAGTTTTCTAGAGATGTGCTAACCCAGAAAGCTGGAAAGTCCTTAACCGCAACCTAAATACTGTAAGCAGAGAATATTCCAAGGTGCTCATTATTAGCCATCTGTTTTGGAATAGAAGATGGAGGGAGTATTTCAGCTTGGCAGCACAGTAATCAGATATATGTAATACTTTCAAGGGGAAAAGTCCATTTTTAAGAGACGTTTATTTTTAAAAGCTTCCAACAGAACTTTTATAAGATACGGTATACATTAAGAAGTGTCAGTAATACACATCTAATCTACACAAATTTTCCATGGATTTAAACTCATCATCTGGGGCAGTATTACAACTTGTAGGCATAAAAACTACTGCAGAGTGTTGCTGGAATAACCACAGAATGCATCTGTTAATTCTAATTATGTATTACTGGTAAACTATATATTCTTTTAACCCCATCACCATATTCCTCATTTTGCAGGTGAATGGGAGTGCAGAATGCATAAAGATTAGTTTCCTAATGGTTACAGACATTTTAAATGAATGTAGATGCCCTTAGACTAGATGCATGTCTGTGTTTTTGTAAGTAAAACCTCAAACCTGTCAAAGGCAAAAACAACATCTGGACATGATAACTTTATAGTGAAGTCCTGGTTTAGCAGTTGTAATCATTAATCTGTTCCTTCTCAAGTCTTCTGTTCAGCTACATTTGAAATGAAAATTGATGGTTCTTTTTCCAAGCTGAGTCTCTTCCTCTCTCTTGTTTTTCTTTCCACTGTGTGTTATTTACACCAGTGAGTAAGTGTATAGTTTGACATTCTGTGAAAAAAAAAAAAAAAAAATAGCAAACTATAGTCTGTACGTGGAAAAAGAGAATATCCCTAAGATCAGCACTTTGAGCTGTGTGTGATCAGGTCAGTTTTGCTTTCCATAGTGTTACATAGCAAGAAACTTAAATTCAATCTGTCTGGAGATCCAGTTTTCTCTCTGAAAAGCCAAACAGAGGTAACAGTCTTACAATGAGTTTGTCTGCAGAACAGGACATGTATTTTCTTCTGAAAATTTGGCATCCTGCTAGCAGGGTGCCAAAATGCCTGGTGTCCAAAGGCATTTTGGACACCAGGCATTTGGTTCTTGCAAATGCCTGCACTGGTGTCCAAAGTGTTACGTTCCTGATGCTTCATGTGATGGTCTCTCCATTCATGGCACTTTGCAAGCAAAGCGTGGCTTGCTTAATTGTGCCTGGTTTGCTTAATTGTGCCATTCTGTCTGTGCTAAAAGTCAGTACTGAGTGCCTTAAAGGAGGATGTGAGCACTGCAGTGTTCCTGCAGTCCCTTTTCCTGCCACCAAGGCTTCACTCCAACCCTGAGCAGAGATTGATGCTCAGTACTAAATTAAAAGTTTGTTGGTGCTTCCAACAATAATTTCATTAATTTGGGAAACTGTGGATATTCCTGCCTAGTGTTTGACTCACTAACTTTGCTAATACAATATTGTTTTAAGGGAGTTCCATGGGCTTGTTCATTATGAGGGTAATGAAGCAGAAAATTAAAATAATATTCTTTATGCCATACAAAAAATGAGTGACAGAAACAAGCTTAGCATAGGATATGCCACATTCTGAAGAGACAAGTCTGCAGAACCATAAATTAAAGTGCACGTCATTGGGTGAGGACAGATGCAGCACAAAGCACTTCATTTTATTTGCTTTTCAAAAAAAAAAAAATAGGTCTATGTCTTGACTTTAATGGATTATTTTCTCATTCAGTGTATTTCCCATTTTCAGGTTAATGGGTGGAAAGGAAAATTCTGAATAAACATTCACTTTGCAGAGAGTTGGTTTTCTTTGCTTCAAACTTCAAAATTGGTGCCATCTCCTTGCAGGAATGAAATGGTAAATAATAGTATTCTCTGATTTAGGTAGTACACTCTTTGGCTCTCAAACTCTTGTATATTCTAGAATATGTACTAGGAATCACTTCCTGTGTTTCATTATGGCCTCCTGCCCTGGTCTGTAGAATCAGAAGTTGTAGCAAAGTAAATGCTAACCCAGTCTTTCACTAGAAGGAGCATTTATCTGAGTGATGAAAATACAAGCCAGAACAAACGGATCTGAGAGTAATTTTTTACACTTATGTGAACAGTTCTTTTTATAGGTGATTACCATCAACTGTTTGGTAAACCTTATCCTTAAAGTCACTTGTATTGGTGAGAAGTTGAGTACACATGAACCAACCTGCTGTGAAGAATTGGAAATTGGAAACAAACTTCCAAGGCCTATTTTAAATAGGCCTCCCTCCTCAGAACTGTGATGATCCTTTTTGCTTTCAAGCAAACAATCTCTAGTGTTAGTTGACTCCATACTCTCAGCAGATTGTATAATCCTGGTGTGATTTCCTATAGACATTGGGAATCCTTCCCCAGTGAGAGCCAAACTGTTCACAGTTAACATTGTGCAGTATTGATTTCTCTCTATTACTTCCCAACAACTCTTTGAAACAAAGAACAATTCTGTGTGCTGAGATGATCCTTTGGTCTTCTGGATCCAGTTCACCTATGTTTAAAGTAGATCAGAAGTAGGGAGGGAAATGAACAGAGGAAATGAGTTGTCTTTTTCTCAGCTGTTTCATACTTTGCTTTCCCCTCAGGGGACAACCAGTATTTTTGTAAAAAAATAGATTAAGTGAAAAATGGTTCATAATGCTTTATCATGTGTTTGCTGTGGTTTAAGAAACTGATGTTAGAAGCTTGCCTGCCTGCACAAAAGCATATGTCAAGAACATAATTTCAAAACAGCTGAATTCAGTTAAAATATCATGGGTGGGAGTTTATTTGTAGTATCTTTGTTACTGTAGCTTCTCTCTGCCTCTTACTAGGCTTTTGTATTTGCTTCCTCTTCTGTTGTAAATGTGAGGCTTTGTTGCTGTTGTTTCAGCCTCCTGGCATATTTGCTCTTCAATCATTGTTGAGCTGACCTATTACTATATTTGTAACCAAGCTGTCTTTTGAGCTCTTCAATTTTACAGGATAACTCTGTGATAATTTCTGCATATTTTAATTGTGAGAAGTGTTTAGCTTGATTTACTGTGGAAAAATCATCACTTTATACACATTTTTCCTTAGTTTGCCTCAACTTTCAGAACCTCTTGGCTAGTTTTAGTCACATTTGGGTAGGGACAGCAGGAATGCATCCCAAAGAGTGGGGTTCTTATAGACTTGATAAAAAGTAAATAACCAAGTAAAAAAGAGAAAAGATGTAAAAGCATTTGAGCTGAGGCATCCCCAGCTGAAGCCTTCTTATACCCCAGTGATCCATGCCACAAAGAGGTGTTACCCAATACCCCATTCATGCTTTTCCCTGACATTGGGCCCTCTCAACAGAAGCCTTTAACCCCCTCTGGTTACAGCCCTAAACCCAACTATAGGATGGTCACCTGGATTTTCTTTATTCAAGCCACATGTCAATCAGCAGAACACCACAATACTGATTCATCGTCAGTGAGGTCTGACCCACAGATAGAACCTGAGGTGCAGTAAACAGAGTTTCCTTTATTCCAGGGTCTCCTGTGACGTTTTATGAGCATAAGGCTGTGTGGACTGTAGCCCTGCTGTAGGAAATGCACACGTGAGCTTGCATCTTAGAAACCAAAGCCAGTCAGGCACATGCTCAAGCTTCCTAGGAAGTCAAATCCCTGAACTTCTTGCTCTAAGGATGCAGTTACCAGAAAACATTTCAAAATGTGACCAGCTTGGATCAGGAGAGATGCCATGCTTTTGTGGTGACTGAAGCCTTGGCAGAGAGGACAGGAACGATAGGACAGTTCTTCTTGGGAATTATTTATATTGTGCTCACAAGTGGACCATGCTGTGCTGGTGTTGTGTAAGGCAATCCTCAGGAAATCAGGTGGGAGTACAAACTTTTCTTTTGCCGTATAAACAGAGTGTGTTCCATAACTGAACTTGTCTTTCTGCTGTTACGGATGTTTTTTTCCATTTCAGTTATTGTGTCTATTTCGTCACACATAGCAGCCCACCCTGCACTAGCTGTTTTTTCCAGGACCTGTCCCTTTGAGCATCCATCCCTTCGCTCCATCACATGCTGTTAGTCTCCAGAGGATGTCCCAGCGTTGCAATGAGCCCCAGCCACCAGCAGCACCAGACACAGCTACCCCTGTCAGGCCCCAGCTGGCTGCTGCTCCCTGTGTTGCTAATCTCACCTCACCCGGGGGCTGAATTGCTCAATCTTGCCCAAGTATTTGACACTGGATTCTTTTGTCAGATGCCTTTGCTGGGACAGCATGATAAGTAATGGACAGGCTGTCAGGAGCCGGCTTTGCCAGATGACACACAATGGGGCTCTGCTGACCCAAAAACTTGACTTCAGGAGCCCTGAGCCCCACCTTCCCCTGAAAGGGCTTCCTTTCTGAAAAGAGGTTATGGTTTGTGTGTGTGTGTCTCTGTGTGTTAACTTTTAGTATATCTCTGTTGGGCAGCTCACCTACCATTTCATTCACACACTGAGCACACAGTCCAGCTAGAGCCACAATTAATGTCACACAGTCAATAGAGGTAGCAGCCATGCCATTTTGGATGCCATACTTCGGCCATTTTCCAGCATGTATCTTCACTGTGGGAGACTCCTTCTCACACAGGAATCACCTTCCAAGAGGAATGCCTGTCACACAAGAGAAATTTAGGATCAGCAGGCATTTGCTTATCTGTTGCAGGTTTTGTATCTGTCAGTTGCAAGCAGTCGTCACCAGTGCATTTCATGTCCTTTCTTCAATGCACTTAATTTTTACTAGAGGATAGACAGCATTTCTGATTTTAGATTTGCATAACAAATTCACTTTAGTGGCAGTCTTCACTTAATAGTTTTGCTTGATCTTTTTCTCTCTAGCTTACATAAGCAAACAAAGTGACTGGGGAGAAAAACACATTATTTGGTGCTTAACTTCATTATGGACAGAATATTTATCCTCAGATTTTGCAAGTTTTTATTACATGAGCTCTTTCATGTCACAAAGAAAACACATCTACACATACGCATGCTCACATGACCACTTCTAACTTCCAAACATGTTTATATTTTCAGTTCCAATTTGTAACACTTCATCTGTTCCTGAGCAGTGTGCATTCTTTATTTATGTTCAAGGTCCAAGCAAACAAAACTCCTTCAAACATCTTTCTGAATCAGAGAAGAAATGACAGTGAAAAAAAGCAAAACAAATTCTCCCCATTTATATGAAAATTTTACTGAGGCTTGTTTTGTTACATAGTGTTATAGTGAAAACAGATGATATTTGAAATTTGGCTTTGAAGCAGGACTCCCTTCAGCCTCCACAGGCAACCAGACATTCCCCTTCTGCACATCACTTCCAACAGCTCTTTCGTGCAAAACATTTCCCTGTTTATCCTCCAGACAAATTACAATTGCTGGTCTTAAGTCATCTGTGTACTGTGTAAAATGATGTGTTGTCAACCCTGGACCCCATTCCTCTTTCTAAATCCTTTCTTTCATAAAGAATGAAATGAAAAGAAGAAGGAATTAATTCATTGCACTACTTTTTTTTCTTTTAAGATGTTAGGGTGGCTGCAGTGGGATCAGCTGCTCCGTGGACAGCGCAGTGAGCAGCAGATATAATCAGCCTTTGTACCTTGCCTGATGCCCAGGCTCAGGGATCAGAGCTGACACCAGAAGAACAAACCCTGCATTTACCTCCCCTCATCTGTGTTCTTTGTAAAATGTTTGTGAACTGTTTAGCAAAATGTTTAACTTGTTTTGATAGCTGGACTAAATTGTAAACAAATGGTAACCACATGCTATTCATGGCAGAATAATTTTGCTTTGTTTGGTTTTATGACAGCATTTACACAGTATTTTTTGCAACCTTAGTGACCTACATGAGGCTTTTGTCTACAAGAACTACTATTTTTCTTTAAAAACAAAGAATTAACAAAATAGATTATGGCAGGTTTGGTTTTTAACTATAGCAGCTGGTAATTTAATGGAAAATACCCCCAGTAAACTTATTTGGTGTTTTCAGAGATCAGAAAATCTGTTGCTGCTGTCCCCAGGGTCTTTAACAATACTCAGTTGAAGTTCATTAAGTCAGGGAGTCATGGCAATACACATTATTATTCTCCATAATTCCTGCCATCACAAACTGTTTTCTGGCTTCTCCTCACCTTGCTCTGAAGTGGTTTTTCCTTTGGTTTATATGGGGTTTTTACTCAAGATTTGGGAAGAAGAGGGTACATTGTGATAAAACCTTCCATAAAATCACTGGCACCATCACACTGCAGCTACAACTTTGTAGGCACAAGCCAAGATTAGATGGTTCTAGACCAGGAAAGAAGAAATGGGGAAGTCAAAACCACATAAAAGCTTTTCTCCTCCATTCAAGAGTCCCAGAAGAAATCACAGATATGTTAGGTCAGCCTTACAAAATTGTTCTTTAGCAAAACACAAGTAAAAAGAAAAAAACAAGACTCAAAGTACTAGGGTGTTCAATATCTGAATTGTTTTGTGTTATTGTTAGGAAAGCAGTAGCAGAATAATTTTGTGGTTTGGTTGCTATTTTCAAGACAAGACAGCTTTGTAAAGTTGTATGAGAGGGAACAGAAGCCTCTCGGTTAGGATTTGTAAATATGAAACATCCTAGGGTGCTGTCCCTTTCCTCTTCTCCTGGATCATTATTCTCAAGAAGCCACCTGTAAGTCTCTTTGTAAATGGCCTGTGCTGCATGTGAAACAAGGAAAGAAGAAAGCGGGGTGGGGTGGGGGTGTCAAAACAACAACAAAAATCACAAAAATATTTGTTGAACAAAACACAGTAAAATAAGTATTTTTGAAAATGTTTGATTTTCAAGGAGGGATGTCTCTAGTTCTTGGTTCTCTAGGGTATGAGGAGGGGAAAGTTACAGCTGCTTTAACCACCATCAGCTCCATTTTACTCCCAAGATGACATACTTACAAATTGAATTTATAGTTGACTGCAAGTATGAGAAACACCAGTGCTACTACTTCTCAGTGTTTCTCAGATTTTGTGTGTTATATGTAGAAGCTTTATCAGTAAAAGGTAAACAATAAATCTCGAGCAAATGCTTTCTTTTCCCTGTAGTTAAATGAGTCACTGAGATTAAACAAAGGCTAAAGTTCAGGGGTCTGACTTAAGAGTCTCTTTCATTTCTGCTACCCCCAGTGTTCTGTCTTACAGCCTGTCACGTTTTTCATTCCTTCTAAACCCTTTCAGCATGACATTAATTTGCATAAACAGTCCCATGGCAATAGCAGGAATAATATTTAGCTCTCTAAACTGGAACGTTTATCCATACTTCCCAAAAGAATGTCAGCTCTGAGCACAGCTGGTCAAGATGCCACTTGAAATTCCTGCCAGCTCTTACACTGTGGTGGTGAATCTGAGCTGCCTGCAGCAGCTTGAGTCAATTTTCAATTAATTTTTCTTTCACAGGAACGACTGGAGCACCTGGAGAGGAAAGACTGACCTGCTCCTTCCATTCCTTTTGCTTCCTCCAGCTCCTTCCTGATGCCTCACTGACTTGCCTAGTCCCCTCTTTCTATGCTTCTCCTCATCCCATGCATCCATTTCCTGCAAAAGGTCACAAAGGTATTTATAAAGATGTCAGACCCACTTAAAGCAGATTTTTAGACCTGCCATGTTCCAGTCATTGGGATGAAATATTCCAGTCCAGGTGCCCTGCTTGGGATGATTTGTTTCTGAAACTTCTGATTCAAAATTCTTTCTTGACTTTCTTGAGAAAGTTAGGGGGGAAAAAACCAATTTTTGTATTTTTAAAAGAATACTAATTTTTGAAAGTTTCAGTGTTCTCGCATTTAGATCAGAGAGAAGGCCTTTGCCAGGCAGCACCAAGGGCAGATTCTCTTCCCCTGAGGGAGGGCAAGACAGGAGCTGAGGCTGGTGGCAAGGCAGGAGCAGAGCTGGTCAGCACCAGCACAGTCCCACAGACCATGCAGGAGGAGAGCAGGCAGGGTCCAGACACTGAGCTCAGGTTGAGCCCAAAGTCCAGATCCATAGTGGTGAGGTAGATTTGAAGTGAAGTTGACTTTGCAATTCACGTTCCAGTCCAGAGAACACCGAGTCATTGCACATTGCAGTGATCACCAAGCATGCTTATTGTGTGGAGGGAGCCAAGCTAGAAAATCAGAACAGAGGGTTTTCTTAAAGAATTTCAAGACTGATGACTGATTGGTCTCCTCAGTTGTCTCTCTCCTCCCAGAGAGGTCCAGCCCCACCAGAACTTTACAGCGTTCAGTAAAATCTTTGTAAAGCTCCACTTTCACTTTGTGCAGTGAGGACGGTGCCCCTGGTAGCCTCAGCCTGGCAGCACAGCAGCAAGAGTGAGAGGGGGACAGGACCTGTGCAGCAGCCCACAGCAGGGATTTCCCTGTCCATTTCTGGTACAACATTTTCTGCTGAGCTCCTCTCAGCTAAAAAGCATCGAAATATCTTGTACAAGAATTGTGGAAGTAATGGCTGCCCTGCATCACCCCCCAGGAAAATTGGAGCTTCCCTATGGGAATACAGAGCATAACTGCAGACTCAAAACACAAATGGCACTGCACTTGCAGAGGAATCTCAGATTATACTGTTGCACAGGTAGCTTTAAAACTGACCATTTACAGCTTGCATTTTTAGGGGAAAAAACAGATAATGGTCTCAAAGCCCAGTTTTGGCTTGAAACTGTAATACGTATATGCTGCAGAGACTGAGAGAAAAGGGTTGACTCAGTCTTCTTGTGTGAGGAGGGATAGTGTGGAAAAGACACCAAATAACACCTAATAAAAAATAGGCAGTGATGCATAAAACTAGATGTTGGGAAGGTCTGGTAAAACTTTATTTTCTGGCACTAGTAGTACACCCTGAAAGGCTGTCTGAATATTGGAGGGGTTTCTTGACAGAAAACTGAAAACTCCAATTGTAATAAAAGGAGATATTTTTCTGTCAGACAGAGCAGTAAAAAGGTGCAACATCTGATGCCCTGATAAATATACCCAGTTACCACAGGCACCTACAATGCATCCTCTAAATACATTTTTTTGGCTGGTGAAGTGGAAAAATGGGCAAATTTAGGATTATAGAAAATTCTATTCCACTTTGAATGTCTGGAGAGTGGCTGAACGGTACAAATTGTGTATCTTGGCCATCTCCAAATATATAGGCAGGCATTTGAGTCAATGTGTTAAAACTGCATTTCCTTTGAGGCAAAACTCAGTTACAGCCGTCAGTAAACTTGTACTTTCCATGTGACATGGTTAGTAACTTGGACTCCTGATGAGGAAAAAAGATAGTAGCAAATAATTAAACACCAAAGTGGTGACATATGCCCCATATGGTAGCAGGTTTTCTCTAACTGGTTAGGTGTAACTATGGAGATATGAGAAATTAGAGTTTCCCTTATAACAAAACACACAAACAAACAAGAGGTCTACCAAAACAACTGTCAACATGACTCTGCATCATTTGTCTGAGCACTATGGGGGCAGTAACGAATTCCACAGCTGTGAAGATGTTCATCTATGTTTGTGCAGCTATTTTGTGTTCAGTGAGTTTCAAAGTTTTGATGGAAAAATTTAATGGAGAGCTCTGGAAAAAAAACCCCAGTTTTCTGGGTTTGAAAGACTTAAAACTATTTGCAAGGAGGTGTAATTTATATGTGTGAAACTTTAAAACAATCTTTGTCATATTCCCTTTAGAATATTTTTGTCACATTCCCTTTAGAAAATCTTTATGGTCAGTCAGAAGTATTTTTGTAAAGCAGTTAATATCACTTTAATGAAGATATGACGTATTTTATTCTCTTTATCCTATACTGTGAGTTGGTTTGGCTTTCTTTTTCGTCCCAATCCTGTCTTAAATTCAAAAATAGGAGTAGAGACACTCATATTTGTTCTACATATGTAGCTTTTTAGAATTATTCACACTTAATCCAGAAGCATCTTATTACCAAAGAGGAACTGAATGATCAAGAGAGCCCATAGTTTGTCTTGTAGTTAAAACACACAAATAGGAAATATTGAGTCACAGAATCACAGAATGGTTTGTGTTGCAAGGAATGTTTAAGATCACCCAGTTCCACTGCTCCTGTTATGGGGCAGGGTATGCTATACCTTTCACTAGACCAGGTTGCTGAGAGCCCCATCCGACCATGCCTTGAAAACTGCCAGAGATGGAAGTGTTGTGCAATTCATGCCATGTAATTTTCCCTGTTTTAAAAGCTGCAAGTCTTTCTAGTCTTTATTAGCACCATCAGTCTAAGATCTGCAACATCTTCTTATGGACTTCCCCGGCACCCTTACAGTTAAAAAAAAGGCTTGTACTTGCAAAAGGATGGAAGGCATTTCAGATTGACAAAGTTCTGCTGATTATTGTGTTCATTCCTTTTCTCATCTACGTAGAAAGATGATTTGCCACATGGGAGAGAAAGGCTTGAGGGAAAAGTGGAACTGTGTATGTTGCAGGTATGAACTTTTTCATTCTTTCCATCACTTGCTCTAGTCATATACTCATCATGGCAAGACAGAAGGAGAGAGAGCAACCCAAACCAGCAGAATAAAGGTTTTCTGAGGTCCCTCGTGGGTAAGGGTAGAGGAGAAAGTGTGAGCTCCAGCTGACCAAACCTTTGTCCTACACAGTGCATATGGACATGTGGCCAAAGGGTGACTGCTCCAAAAATGTTCTTGGTCACCTGTTTTCAAATAACAAGTATAATGCCTGAGCTGTTGCAGAAGTGCAGATATGCTGCCTAAATAGAAATTACCACGTCTGGCAGTTTCAATATAGTTAGGTAAGTATATGACAAAATATGAAATTCTAGATGTCATGTGAGGCAGGGGCTTTCCTGCTGTCAGATCATTATAAGGAACTTTAAAAAGATTTAATATTAAATTTTCATTTTTGTTTTCCTTAGATGTCCTAACTTGGCAGCATGCAGTTCCAAAAGTGTCTGGTTTTGGTACAAGTGACTCATAAATAAAAACTTACTGTAGAAGCTTTAAAGCTGGCTTGTAGTTTTGCACAAAGCAAAATCATAGGGAACTTACTCTCAAAGTGGTGCTACAAATACTAGAGTAAATATGCAGGGTGAGTGGGTGTCTTCTACCCCACTGGGGGAGTGGGATAGAAGACAGACAGTGACCTCAGCACTGAAAACAGAATTTAAAAGGTGGGGGCAGTTGTTTTTTTTTTTTTTTTTCTCCTTGTTTCTATGTTCCTTTTTTTTTAGAGGGCAATGTGTCCAAAAATATTCAAAAATTCACATTCAATTCAAACTAATTCAAATTTGAAATACTTGCATTCCTTTATTACTGTTTGAATCAGAGATACAAATGCTGGATCAAGGACACGTGTGCTGAGAGGTGCCAGCAGAAATGTGGCAGACAAGTCAGTAAGAAAACTTTAGTGATAGAGAATCAGATTTTGCTGCTTTATGATAATAACTGGAGACTGGAAACAAGCCTTTGAATAATTTCAGATTTTCCACATTTCAGACTTTTCCAGCTAGTTTATGGTTTCTGTGCTTTAGCCTTCTGCTAAAAATAACAATAATTACCTCCCACTGATTTTAATCCACCAAAGGCAGGAGAAGTTGGAGTCCTCCTGCAAGCAGGCTGCAGGGAATTGCCAGATTTTGAGCTGCCATTTGGTCTAATTTGCAGACAGCAGAGCTGTACCTGAGATTTATAGAGCAGTTGTGCTACTTTACTAAGCTAAATGTTGTCAGGAAGACCCTGGAAACAGCAACAAGGAGCAAGAATGGGAGATGAGAGGGGAATTAATGCCAGGTCTATAACAACCTCTCATGCCAAGACTGCCACAGTGATGAACTGAAGGGAGGATGAAGGCAGCAGTGAGGAAGACTGGCTTTTTTTTTTTTCATGGTGCCCAAGAGTGGCTCCACTTTGGGGTATTGTCCTTCCTGTTCTCAGCTTTCACAAGTGGCATGAACCTTTCTGACAGCTAGGAAGCTAGGAGCCCACAGGTGTCTGTCCCAGCTACAGTTTTATGAGATTCTGCTGGAGACATCCATGTATCCATCCATCCATCCATCCATCCATCCATCCATCCATCCATCCATCCATCCATCCATCTCACAGCAGGCTGCTCTCTGCTCTGCTTCTCATTAGCTGCTGTTGCTGCTGGCCATTCAAGTTTTCTGCTTCTTCAAAACCACAGCTGAAGCCTTGTTTTGGTGAGCTAAGATAAAGTCAATGTAGCGTGGTTCCATCCTTCCTGCCACTGTTAGTCTGGCCAGCCATGGAAACACCTGTCCTCCTTCATGTGTCAGCAAGCCTGCGGAAAATAACCCCACTGACCTCTGACTTCAAAGAGACTCAGGGAGCAAATTCTCTTTCCAATTAAATGGAGTGAATCACTCAAATTCTCGTTTCTCAACTTTTGTATTTACTGATCTGTCAGCATATTAACATTTCAGAAATGCACTCTGTAGACTTTCATCCATTTTTTAAAAGAAATTCATACACAGTGCAAAATAAAGCCTGTTTTCTCCAGGTAAAGCATTACTCACCTATGAAAAACCTATCTTATTTCTGTAAGTTTCCTGCAGGCAA